TTTTGATCTGAATTTTTCAGCTGTATTATTGATTACGCAAGGAAAACCTGAAGAGTTCTCAAAGATTTTGTCATTACAGAACATTACACTTCAGAAATATTTACAACTCTCACCATTATATAAAGAACTGAACTATCATGGAGTTTTCTCTCAAAGTTCTCAATAGCTTTTTTGCTATAGTTCAAATTTCTGAAGTATTCAGGGCTGCTATGAGAAGTGAATTAATTTCCATGCAGAGTTCTTTAATAAATGTTGCTACAATTCATTTCAGAATCATTCAAGATCCCAACCTTATTTGAGAAATGAAGTAAGTAATTATCAGTTTTTTCACTGGATTCTCAATCATTTCATTGCTGGAGCAAATTTCAAAATCATTCAGTACCAAAAACATTACATTATTATAGGAACTGGTTACAAGCCAACAAAAGACAATTTCTGGATTTTCAAATAAAAACTTGGTCTTACAGTAAAGTCAACAGTTGCTCTATAGATTGAAATATGCTGGTTTATACTGTTCAAATTTATTGTCTTCGGCGATTTCGAAGATAAAAACCGACGCATGACCCAAAGTAAAGGTACAAGATTCATCCTCTCTGAGACAATATCATGAAATGTAAGCAGGTAAGGTTTGGAAGGAGTTACTTGTGTTTCTAGTGTATGTCAAGGTCAAATACTTGGGGATTTCCAGGAGAAAGTGAGAAAAATATGAAAAATCATACTTCACATATACAAGTCTACAAAGTTATCACTACACCAACCTATTGCATGAGATAATGGAACACAACTGGAACCATCAATGCAGGAATCCACATAACATGGGTGTAACTTAAAAGAACTCTACTGCATTATATTTACAATGAATGTTGTGACACAAAATTACATATGTTGACTAACATAACATTTTCACCTTTTTTTTTGCACTTGTCTTCTGTAAGTTCATGATCCACTTGCTGGGAAGCACACTCAAGGGCTCCATCACTAAAGTGACTGGTTATAAGCTGGATGGTCAGGATTCAATTACCAATATGGATACTGAGAATATTCCCCTTTACATTCACATCCAGGAAGGCTCTGGAGCTCATCTAGCCTTCTATCCAACAGGAACCACAGGCTCCTTTCCTAGGGATAACACAACTGAAGATTGAAGGCAATCAGCGACTTCCCCATCCAGTGAAAGGTCAAGAAACCATGGCTGGAGACTCTCTCGATAGGCCTGATAAATGATCTGTAGGCACATTCTAAAATTATAAACACAATATGTGCAGCAATTAGTAGTATTAACAGTAAACAGTTTAATAATAAATCAAATGCATTCAAAATAATTAAATCAAATTTATTTTCCAGTTGTTTAAGTTGCAATTCCTTCTTAGACACATTTTCAACCCTGCAGAGAGCCTACGAAAATTCCTCTGCCCATCTGTCTGTACGCATGAAATAACTTGAAGACAGACACACCAATTTTAATGGACTGGGGAAATTTACAAAAAAAACCCTGTAAAGTCATTTCAAGTTTCATTTGGACTGAACAATTTTAACCACCATTTTATATAACCACATAAATATTTTTTTAAACTTATTTTGTTACACGGAGGAATTCACTTGTCTAATACAATACATAATTTTACCATTGGTATCCTTGAAATCCACTGTTATAGCATGAAATATTAGAAGTTTCTTGAACTGACAGACAGTCATACAGATTTTGAAGTAGTACATAAAAACAAATTTTCTTTCCTTTGCAAGTGCAGTGTTGTACAACTCTCTTAACTCTATTAAATCTGTGAAGAAAAATGCATTTCTCATAATTTTCATCCAAGGAAAAAATCAGACATTCAGAGCTGCACCACTCATAAAGATCAAAGGTCAAATTCTGGTGAGCACACTAGAGTTGTTACACTATGCACACATTTCCTAACTTGTTATATTAAATAATACTGTTCCAATTTAAGGGGGTTATGTCCTTTCAAATTACATGGGTAAAGGGTCATGAATAATGTGTAAGGACTTGTCCTTAGATTCAACAGTTACAATTTCAGCTTTGTACATTCTTACCACCTACGCATGCAGCACATAATATCCCATTAAAACAGAGTAACAAAATGTTCATTTCAGCCACAAACAAATTAAAAAGGCAGTAATTGTTTACACATCAACCCTGCTGATATAGGCAGAGACAAGCTTCAAAACATTGGAGTACACCATTTTCACATGGCTGATCATAAGAGAAGACATTATTGTATTCAGTCACCTTGAAAGCTTCAAATCTTCTAATGATGCACTATTTACTTGCAGGTTCCTTAATCTGTCTCTATTGCATTAGGTTAGGTGAGGATGACAGCTCAGGTAAGGGTAGTGATAATAGTTTCTTCCATATAAATACAGACTTTACACGGTGGCTGGATTACAACTTTTCCATTTCTCCATATAAAAAGCCAATAATAACGAAATTGTGCTTTTAAGAATAAGAATTTGAAAAGTATCATCACATATTAGGTTTGCCAACTATACTTATATTAGTTCCAAAAGATGACATTAAAAAAGTTCACATACATATTTTAAACAATGTCTTTTTTTAAATGGTACTTATAACACTGCAGAAAGTAGCTCCATTATCCTGAACATCTACATACTTAAATATTTAAGAAGTGCTTGTTTGTTTAAATTATTTTAGTCATGTTTCCATTATATCTACATTAGCCAAATTATTAGATTGGGTCAGGTACATGTTTTCTAACATGCCTATATATGCATATATATATATATATATATATATATATATATATATATATATATAAAGTAAAGTAAAGTAAAGTTTGTCCCACTATACGCCATGTAGGCGTTTGGGGTGAGAGGAGGGCCCCGGTCGTCCAGCCCGTAGCTAGTCACTATACTGACTGAGCTATCCCGGCTCTTTATATATATATATATATATATTTGTCAATGGTTTATATCTTTGGTGCTTGTTAAGTAGGACTCAAGTCAATAAGAATTATATGACATAAATCCTTCTTACCGAGCACCAACATAAATACATGCAACACAACTACAGATACTAGTGGGAGAAGACTGTGATACTGGCATTAATTTCAGCTGTTGGCTTTTGTAACTTCAAGCACCAGACGGCTGCTGCCAAAAACAGAAAATATTGGGTGTCAGGAAAATTAGCAGTAAGTATACTCTTCAAATTAAAATTAAAATTTTCTTCTAAAGTTGCCCATTAAATTTAAAGCTCATCTATAGTCATTGAGTGTAACTCCTAATTTACAAGTTCAAACTAAAGTTTATTAATTTATACCCAAAACATCTGCACATGACATAAAACTCAAATCACCTTAATACCTGCAAGATGTGTTGAAAAAGTTTTGATATACCATTAAATAAAATACAAAGACAATTTATATCTCTGTGTAGTACAACTTTTCAAATGTTATGCAACAAGAGATTTGCATGTATTTGCAATGAATATCAGAGCCATCACATGTATAAAATCATAATGGAATAATATATGAAATTTAAAATATGAGTACAACTTTCCACTTTCGCCCTGTAATAGGACTGAAAGCCAGTAGCAGTGCCAAGCTGTCTGACCAGGCTTATGCTACATTAATGCCTTAATAGAACTCATTTAAAAAAATCCACATCTTTCACTTAGGTTAATTTCTCAAAAGCTGAGAAATACTGCCTAATAACATAACATATTTCAAACTAGAGTATGTTTATAACATAAAGTTCATGAATGAATTGTTGGTGATATTGCCATCAAAATTTATATTTTAAACTCCAATAATTTCATTTATAACATATTCAGACACATGGTCAGTATCTTATGATATCGCTTTTCCCTCTGTTAAATGTTGGTGGTTACAAGTTTCTGGTGTTACAAAGGTTCTACCACTTATTCCTACAGTTTAAGCCACGGCTAGCAGATGGCTTCAAACTGCATCATCAAAGGGGAACAGTTTAGTCAATGAGCAATATATATACAAACATCTCTCTCTAATATAGGATTTGAGACTTTCGCGGCGAGTACAATCAATAAAATCTTCTCAGGCAATCAGCCGCATCAACTGGTTACCGTAGTAAACCGACGTTTCAGGAACCAACTCTGTCCCCATCATCAGGGTTCTGATGTGACTGGATACCTCGGAAGTTGCCTGTGTATATACCTGCTCGGGACCAGTGCTCATGTAGAAAGCAGGGCCAAACAAACCGAGCACTTGACTCCACCCCCTAGCTCCTTGGGCCTGGGTCCGGACATGAGCACTGGTCCAGAGCAGGTATATTCTGAGGTATCCAGTCACATCAGAACCCTGATGATGGGGACAGAATTGGTTCCCTGAAATGTCGGTTTCCTACGGTAACCAGTTGACGCGGCTAATTACCCGAGATCTTATTCAACTAACTTAACTTTACCAACGAACATCAGACCTTAAAACTACTAGCAACAGGAAACAAAATTCTAGCAGAATATATACGTGATGGTGCAAACGCAGAACCGTAGTTTTTATGTTACACTGCGGATTCCCAAGGCGAGTGGTTAAGTTTGTCAGGCTGAGAAACGTCGGTTTACTACGGTAACCAGTTGATGCGGCTGATTGCCTGAGAAGATTTTATTGATTGTACTCGCCGCGAAAGTCTCAAATCCTATATTAGAGAGAGATGTTTGTATATATATTGCTCATTGACTAAACTGTTCCCCTTTGATGATGCAGTTTGAAGCCATCTGCTAGCCGTGATGGATCTCTCTCTAATTTTAATATCAGTTATGTTTAAATGATTATAAAAACTTGCCCCTCTTCTTATGTTGGGTATAATGGCAGTACTGTCTGACATGGCAAATACAAAGTCAACAAGTACACCTTATAATTATGCAGAATGCACTAATATATAATGCATTATTAACCCACTGGTCTATTACCTTTTTACATTTCTTCACCAAAATGACTCTTTATCCTTCGAAAGTGTTTACTATTGGCACTTAGAAACTCATACAGCATAAACATTAAACTACGTTTACTTTCAAAGGATAACACATAACACCTTACTTTCTGCAGTTTATGGCCAATATGCCATCTATTAATGTTTCTCTGTAACAAGCAAAAGAATTCAAATATATCATATGTAAGTGTCCCGTTGTGGAACTAAGTAATGAGATGGGATTTCAGTCACACACAGCGAAAACCGTATTTTATAACAGCAACGCTGCAATTTTTGTTGCTAGGTATATATGATATAGCATAAACAAAAATGATCTGAGCAGTTTCAAATATTCACTTAACAAAACTAAATAGCACACAGAAACAAAACGTACATCACTGGATGGAGAACTTCAACAAAATGTTGTAGTAAGTGGGAGAAGTGATGTAACTACAATGATGGCAACTAAGAGTGCTGTTGATATGACAGTAAAATAATAACTAAACCCAACAAAGTATTTTGTGTCCCCGAGTTCCAATCCAGAAAATCTGCAACCACCGTTCAACATCCATATGTGAATCCAATTTGCCGAGTGACCAATTTACTATCACGTCAACAGTTGTGCTCTTAGTTGCTATCATTACAGTTACATCATTCCGCTGCACGCTACATTTTAAAGTTCTTCCTGTAAAGTTGCCTTTTTGCATGATGTTTAATTTTTGTTACATAACTGTTAAATATTTTAAACTGCTCAGATATCTGTGTTCACTTCAATGTTCTTATCATATATACTTAGAAATAACAATTGCACTTATACAAGACTGTTTTTAGATGCTAGCAATGTTACAATCAATCATTATTACATGTCAACAAATTTATCATTTTTTAATTATAATTCTCAGCTTGTCTTACTTTCTCTTTCTTTCATACGTGCGTACTTTCACATGAACACACGTCTCTAAATGGATAAAGTCCATTTATATGAACTGACTGACCATCACTGCATTACACTTGCAGTGCAGTAAAGTATTTGTGACAACCATTTGACTGTCTTTAACATAGTAAGTTGATACTATAATATATACTTCAATTTTGGAAGTATTACTGCACAACTTCTCAGCAATCATATTTCTCCAAATACATCATACAACATAAAATGCAACTGTCTCTGTCCCAAAGCACTGCCATGAAGGCAAGGAGTCAAGGTAACCCCAACACATGCCTAACTTTGGCATTAGGTATAGTTGATGAGTCAGCCACTTTAGCCTCGGGGAAAGAACTCCTGATACCCTAATATTCAACAGAAGCGTGGATTGGCTCCACAGCCAGTCTGAAAATGGTGGCAAAGGGAGAAAACTCTGCCTCTGGAGGGGATTGAACTCCAATCATCCTGCATGTAGTCAGAAACTTTACTGAGCTCATGCTACACAGAATATTTTAAATTAAACGTGTCTCGACGCCAAAGAGCAAAGTGGCTCCACAACACAAACTAGAAAAAGATCTGCAATGCTATATTCTTATATAGATTTATCCATAGAAGACTTATAACAAAATCAATTTCTTTCACACAAACTGGGTTTAACAAAATTACAAATGGTGTATTTATTGAAGAGACATGAACTTCAAATGTATTACAAAGAAATGTGAGATCTTGCATTTTTTACTTTTGAGGTTGTACAAATTGAGGATCCTGAAAAAATCAGAAACTATAAAACTGACTACACACTGCTGTATTTAAAATGATCCAAAGTTATTTTATAGCAGATTCAAATTAGAAACACTACCAATGTAATGAGGAAGTTTTAAATGTCTGAATTCACTGAACTAAACAAAATAATTTGATGATCATTTAATTCAAAATATAATTTGATCAAAACACACATATCACTGTTAATGGTGCTTGGTAAGTAGAGGCAGGGTATGTAGAAACTAAAAGACATACAAAATACAAGGACATCTAATGTAATAACACATGACCTCCAGTTCAATCACTAGCTTAATGAACACAATATCAATTCTCTTGCTGTAGTTGCTGCAACAGTAACAGTCGCCGTTTCTCAAGTTCTCCTTCACTCAATTCTCCATCCTCCGACTTGCCAACAGCCTTCATGCTGGCAGATAATGGAGCTCCCATGTTGGCAGATGGAGGAGAGATGTTCTCATCAGACCGGCTTCCTCTGGCTGAGCGCTGTTTGCGAGACTGCTTGTGGCCTGAATCTGACCCACTAGAGTGCTGAATAGGTGGAGGAGAGACCGGCTGAAAATTAGCATAACACCAAGTCTGTTAATATTCTAAACTCTGAGAAAAAAATAAAGGGTAAAGTATGCACATGTATGTACATATACAGGTAAACCTCAATTACTAAAAAATCTGTGAAAATCTTACAGATCAAATATCATGATAAGATGATGGTGATATCATATGCATCAAGTTGATTATGTTGATTTAAAATTGTTGAAAAGAAAAGAATAGAAAAGAACTGGCTGCATGCAGCAGGTGGTTCAAAACCTTTTGAATCAAATGTTAATTATACATATACATGTTCCAAATGCAGGAGAGTTTTTTCCAGGACTAGAAATTATTAGAATTATCAGCGTTCTATAGCTCGGAATAAAACAATGCAACCAACATTTTAATCTCTGGGTACACAGTATGTAAAAAGGTGGTATGTCATAACTTCATTGTTACCTTAACTTATAATACAGTGTATCCACTGAAAATGTTAAATGTAACTGTCACTTCAGAATCCCAGCAGGAACTGCATGACTCACTACCAAGCAATAACAGCAAAAACCTCTAAACTTATTCACCAACAATGCAACTGTGTCTAGCATCGTGTCAAGGACAAGTTATTACTCAATTATAAAGGGTTTTGATGACAGTAGTTTATACTTAAAATTATTCATTGTCAGGACTTTTTCCATCGTCTGTTCTTTAAAACCACGACGTTTCGGAGGCTAGTTCTGTCTCCGTCTTCAGGTGAGAGATATCTACTCTGTTGGGTCCCTTAGATAGAGCTAGTCTCTGTCAATGGACACTAAAGACGGAGAAAGAATCAGCCTCCGAAACGTCGTGGTTTTAAAGAACAGACGATGGAAAAAGTCCTGACAATGAATAATTTTAAGTACAAGTTATTACTGTGTGTATGTGGATTCATTTCAATATACTAATGAACAGAATGCCTTTCTGTATAAATCATATGGTGTAAATTTGTGGAATAAGAGTACCAAGCACAAGAGGCATCCACAAATGTATTAATAAAGTCAGGTCTACTGGGTCAATTCTGGACAAGAAACCTGCTAAAAATGCTGTGTGCTTACCAAAGAAGTATACAAAACAAGGTCTAGATTAAAACACACACCACTGGAATCACTCAAGATTCCTTGCACAGAGATTAGCATCTCAAAATCATCAGTAGCCAAAGTGATGAAGCTGCTTAAACTTCAACTGTACAAGACGAGTCCAGTTCATGCCGTGCAACCATGTGACTTGGCTAGTAGGATTTGTTTCTGTAACTGGTTTTTGCAATTGGATGGTGAAGTTGACCCTTATTTTACTTTTATCTTATGAAAAATGGTTTTATTTGCAGTGTTAATACATCCCACGCTTCCAAGGCCTTTTTCTTTCACAGTAAAATCAAGAAACTCGTAACTGTTAATTCATACAACTCAAAATTACTTTGCTATCTACTATGCCAGATATTGGTAACATTCAGAACCTGACTCATTAAACTGAGGTAGAAAACAGTTTTGATGTTGTACAAAGTATCATTAATACAAGTAGTACCACCTGCACCACTAGTAAGAAAATTCATGAAAATCCTTCCGGGATTCAAACCAAGCAAAATCCTAACATAAGGCAAAATATTAATCATGAGGTCAACATGCTCAGTCTTACACCTAGTGAATTTCCCAAAAGACAAACCTGAAGGGCTGTACAGGCTTGAGGTAAGTCCATGCATTAAAGGTTAATTTGATCTCCATATTATGAACGTCACATTAACATCTTCAGCAAGCCCAATAATGCTGTTCCAAAATCAAAACTGTAAAGAAGAAACCCAGCAAGTTGTCATAATTCAAAATTATGACAGACAGTACACACCGGAATAAGAGCCTAAAAAGGACGTAAGTATAGGGAAACAGAATTTTAGTGGCCTTATTCAGAAAGAGAACCAACACATTCCTCTCCATAACAGATTAACAAATACACCTAAACAGCCCTTATTTTAGCAACAGTTCTTACTTTCGACCTTCCTACAAAATGTTGTATAACTCACAGATCTTGAATGTGCCTTCTTCCGCTTGCTCTTCTTATGCCTTGTCTTCCTCATAGATGAATACTGGCTATCAGAACTATCCACAGAGCCAGCCCTGCTAGTGTTGCTGGGAGACCTGGAAGTACGGTGCCTTCGCTTCCTGCTACGAGAGTGGCCACCATGATCATCATCTGATTCTGACCCAGCAGGCTGAACAAAACATTTCAAATGTTTTCTAATTTTCATCACCATCATTACCACAAACTAATGACCAGTATCACTAGCTTCCAATAACTTAACCAATAATGAAATGAATTAAGAACATTTACAACAGCACAACATGCCTGCTTTAGAATCCAAACACCTAAATTTTTTTGCAATAACATAAGGCTTTTTGTAGTCACAAATATGTATGATTTAAACTGCGAGTTGTGGTCTTCCAAGTTTATATGCTGTGTAATCTTGAAAGTGGTTACCTACAAGGCTAGACAGCAACACCATATCCCAAAAGAACACAATCCACATTAAAATTGCCAGTATGACATGAATATAAACAGCATAATGCAAAATCACCACCAATGCTGATGTTATGTAGTCACAGGACAGAAATTAAGTTTATAGTTCAATGAGAAAAGAAAGAAGAAACAGAAGTACAGGGAACTGTGTTAATATGTGGTGGTAAGAACATAATGAAAGTGAAATTTATATCACTGAAAAGAAATGAACACTCCAGCAGGCCAGAAATTTCATGACAATTACAGGTCATGTTTCACTGTAATATATTCCTCTTTTATAAAAATATGGGTGAAACGTACATTACATTTGTATAAATGTGATAATTTAAGTAATAATATCATTCAAAAGGTCTGACACACATTCCCACAATTTTTCAATTCAGGAAAAAGTCATTCTACTCTGGACTTTTCAGTCTCTTTATATATACACTTTTACAAATGCAGTACAATTTGGTGAAACCAATTTTCTTTATGTTTATTATATGTTGACATGTACAAAATGGAAATGAAGCTTAAAAATAGGGGGGGGGGACAGGCTCAGAATACAAGGATTTTACTTCAAGTATGTTTTATGAAGTTGGAAAGGAAATATTATCCCCATGACAAATATATGGTACGCCTAACTTCAATATGATACTCTACAGTACCTGGCTTTGGGTCTGTGTAAGGTTAGGATGCAAAGTCCCAGAACCCAATACAGAACTTTTCTGGCAAAAACAGGAAGAGGCCAAGTAATCTTTACTGATGTGATCCCAATACACAATTCACCATGCAATTTAGACTTACAGATCGTGATCTTGAGCGTGTTCGTGACCTTTTCCTTTGCTTCTTACTCTTCTTCGACTTCTTAGAACGGGAGTGATGATGGCTACACGCTTCCTCATTTTCATGCTGGTATTCCTGCAATATAATAACAATTGATCTGTTACTTTATAATAGCCCTTAGGTGACACAAGAGGGAAAAACCAGAAGATAAGAACAGTGATGGAAGTGAAATAAGTTTCTATGCAATGGCAGAGCAACTACAGATCTGAGAGTATATGTTAACTTTTTTTACCACAAAATATGGCACCAACATACTATTAAACACAATTGTTACTGTTGTTTCACTATACTTATCTGTGCTTGCTAGTATCACATAGCAAAAATCTCAAAACTAAACCTGCCTCAGGAGCAGCTATACGCAAACTGACCCATACACCTCCTGAACAATACAAGTCTGTAAGCAGACCCAACCAAGTACACAGTGCAGCGAAACCCCAAGGGACAACAGACCAGTAACATATTACTCATTATCAAAATAAGTATATTAAAAAACATACAGAAAATTTTAGAAGATGAAACTTCTCTCAAAACTGAGAAAAGGAAGTAGCAAGGAAAGCTTGACACTACAAATGTCAGTTTTCAAAAAGTAAATGTTTTAGATTGTATTTTCTGATAATTAAGTTGACATAAACCACTGCCAAATTTACACTACCACTTATGGGATTAATCCGGTAGAATATTACACATTAAAAGAAATCCATAAATAAATTTCCCAGTACCTTAAATATTCTAACTCGTTCTGACTCTAGTGTGATTGCTTCAAATGCTGACTGTCCTTCCAATTTGGCTCGGACATCATCCCAATTTGACATGTAATCTACACTGACAGCCTTTAATAATGATTTGAATGATGCCTCAAGTTTCTTTAATCTTCGAGCTTCTTCCTTGAGTCGTTCCCTCTCACGAGCCTCTGCCTGTAATCACCACCAAGTTCAGAAAAACACAAATTCAAGATGCATTATCAATTAAGCTAACAATTTTTCTTTTAAATATTAGTTTAATATTTAACAAAGTAATGGGAGATGACTGATGTACTGCTACATGATTTATGCAAGGTTTAAAATGACACATGTCATACCACAAACTTTACCTTCTCAAGGAAAGCATTGTAAGTAAGCTTCACATTTCCAGCATCCAATGTTGCTGATCGCCTGTCCTCACACACAACAGTTGCAAATTCTTCAAAAGAAGTATTCACCTGGACCTCAAAACCTTTCTCCTTTAGTATTTCTTTTATGATTTTCTTTTCATCATGGAAACGAGATTTCAGATCTTCTACATAAAACTTGAATAAATCCAGTGGTGTAGAACCTAAACAAAAGAATATAGACTGAATTATTTTATTTCAACCAGCTACATACAAAACAGCATATACCTGTCTGTTCGCCCATAACTTTGGAATATCAGATTTCACCAGATCTCATCCAAGATAATCAGCATAATACATTTCATGGATAAGAGTGCACGTTTTGAGCAGAATGTTAAGCAAAAGATTATCATGGAATACTCCCAATGTGAATTTTTCTTTCAGAATTTAATTCCCCCAGAAATATAACAGAAGGAAAACGTTTTATATCTTGAAACAAAACATAATGCTGCTACAACAAAATAATCACTCAAATAAGAATAAAAAATAAAATCTGGTAAATATTCAACTTAAACGAATCATGCAAGTGGTGATGTTAAATGCAACACTGTGTTTACAGGTCTACACAAAGTTTCGTCTGCGACACTCTGCCAGAATTTTTTTTGATCGGACTAATTAATGAAACTTTATTAACTGCTTAAGTTATGTACAGTAGGGCCCCGCTTTTCGGCGCTCCGCTTTAAGGCGATCCGCTAATACGGCGCTCAACAGCTGAGTCAGAGAAGTGTGTCCGGCGCCATTTTCTCGTCGCTGATTCAGTCTGTTTACAGCTTTTGTGCGCTCTGCGGAATAAGATTCGTTGAAGAGTCAGATGATGAAGATGCGCCCTCTCCTTCATCCTTCCTACTATAAGCATATCAATTTTCAAATTTATATTCACCAATCACTATAAGCTGAGGACAATGTGTGTATTACTGATATTCATTTAACTTTCATATCATTTTCTTAGGCCTAGCGCTATTGTGCACTTACTATATGATAGTGTAACATCTTATTAGGCTTTGATATGCATTTGCAAGTGAAATAAGGCAAAGATCCGCTTTTCGGCGATTTTCGCTTTACGGCGGGGGGCTGGGCCCTAACCTGCCGTATAAGCGGTGCCCTACTGTACTATCAAATCAAAACCATATAAGGATTATTAAGAGTGACAGATCAGCAGACTTGAATAAGGATTATCCTGACATCCACTTGTAGAAGACCCCATCCCAAAACACATATAACAAGAAGAGAGAGACAGAAGATAATAAAACAAAGAGAAAGAAAACCTTGAGGATATCTACTACTAGATCTAAATTATGAAGGGACAGTCACCATTACTACTCAATATTTGGAAATATATGATAAAATATTACTGTACATTATTTATAGACAAAAATAATAGGATTTAAGATAGTAACTATGAATACAGTGGTGAAAATTGTAAGGTGCCCTGCTGGAGTAGTTAAATTAAGGTATGTTAAGCTGTACATGTAGCACAGATGTAAGAAGCAAGAGAAACATACTGAATTTGGCATAGAAACCCCTTCAAATGTGACAAGTATGGAGATCAAGATGAAGATTGAATGACAAATGGACCTCACAGTCACAGGTCAGTTAGTGTTAGTAATCTTCAGGCTGTAATGCAAGAACACTTAGTTAAATTGAAGACTGACCTGACTGGCCTAACATAGCAGAAAACCTGAGATCAGCAGAGATGATAGGATACAGTTCTACCCACAGTGACATGGAAGTTAATTTCCCTTGTTCATGAAGTTCATCCAGCAGTGTCACAAAAGAATCTCTGTTCTTCCTATGCTGCCTTTTAAGCCTCTTCTTTTCTCTCTCCTTATCTTCTTCCTCCTCTTTTTCAAGTTCCCGGATATGTTCCTCAAACACTACCAATGCATCCTCTTTGTCCATACCTGTAAGACAAACGGACAATTATCAAACCACAAAATAAAATTCACTTAGAATATTCATACACACTCAGATTAATATGGGCAACATGATAAAAATTTAAGTCTAGTTAAGAAATAAAATGTGTCATGTTTGAACAGAGGGACCCATTAAACATTTTCCACACCATTCAAATGAATTCCTAGTAAACCAGTTATTTAAATAATATTTCAATTCTTGCACCTTGCAAAGTGGAGTGTGATCTTGGAAAAATATTCTTTTCTCAACACATTCTATTTCCTTGGACAAAGACTTTGTGTGTGTGTGTGTGTGTGTGTGTGTCTGTTTATTCAATATTTTTAAAACACACACTAAGTCTTTATCCAAGGAAATAGAAAGTGTTGAGAAAAGAAGAAGTGTGGAAGAACAGGAGTTAAAAAATCAAAGTCAAGTTACGTACCCAACAAGTTGGCATCATCTGCAAAAGCATGGTTATCTAACAACATCTGCTGAGCCTCCTGCCATGTAGTCCTATGACCAATATTGGTCATGGCGTCTAAAATCTCAGCCAACTGTTTCATGTTACGTTTCTTCATTGTCTTTGCTTCCTCTTTTTCCCGCTTTGCCAAACTAAACACCACATCTTCATAAATGTCCCTGCGGTCAGCTTCTATCACATTTTTCCATACCTACAAAATATGGTCACAAAATTTTTTAAAAATCCACGTGTTGCAATTTATACTGGTTTAGCAATCCAAGAAACTAAATAACCACATCCTAAAAAAGTGTGGAAAGGTAAAGTCCATTTTAGAGTACACATATTTTTCACTTTCTTAATGCAAGGTTTTTGGGCTTTCATAGTTACTAAATGCAATTAAATTAAACAGTCAAACTTATTTAAAAAATGTAACTTTCTCAGCAGCATAAAGCTACTCCAAACTCACATCCATATTTCCAAAAAGGTCCTCACAACGATAGTATTTAGTTGTAGATGTGATCTTGTCAGATGTCATAAGAAATTCTTCCAGATCTTCCCGAGCTTTTTTTGCTCTTTGGCGTTGTTCCTCCCTCTCTTCCTTTTGTCTTTGTGTCTTGTATGCATTAAATGCTTGCTTCTTCTCATTCAATTTGCGTAGTGTTGGATAGCGTGGATCAGAAGAAATCAGTTTCACAGCTGCTTCCCAACTCACATTGCTTGGTACATCCTGGAAAGGAAATCATTCTGCTGAATCATCCAAATGAAAAGAGAAAGAAACCTCTTGATCACATATCAAGAGAAAATGTCAGTATGAGTGGCTTGACTAATAATGTAAACTTCATTGTACCTAATAATGCACAATATTATAAAACTCTGATGTACAAACAAAATAATTACTGATAATTTTCACTGTAATGAGTATTTAAAAATTCACTGAGACCAACACTCAATTTTTTCTTCAAAAATTTATATCATCTTTATCAATATTCACTATCCTTTCAATTACCATCCATGCTTTAACCTCCAACTGTTATCAGCTAAATTTTTCAGAGAATGGAAATATTTGTATTATTATTCCCAAAAATTAATATTTTATAAATACACTATTCACTGAATATAAAATAAGCAAACAAACAAACTATTAAGACATAGTTATAGTTTGTTTGTTTATTTCATATTCTAATACACTACACGGTATGCAAAGTTTTAAGACCATTCACTGAACTTACGCAACATTATAATATTACGAGTAATACTTAGACAAAGAAACATTACTAGCAATAAGATTTTTTAAGTAGAATATAATTATATAATTCCATAAAAATGGAATAAAGAATGATTCATGTTGATGATACATGCACACACAAAAAACCTTTTTTTTAATGAACTCCATGGAACAGAGTCTGCCTTGAGGAGCTAACACACATTCGACTAGTCATGAAATTCCCCACCTTTTATGAGACCTACAGCTTCATTATGTAACCACAAAAACCCATCACCAATCCTCATCATGAGCCAGATGAAACCAATTCAAACCTTCCCACAGCATTTACTTATAATCCATTTCAACATTACCTTTCCATCTATCCCTTTGTCTTCCAAGTCATCTCCTGACCTGTAACCTGTAAATTTCTTGGGAACCCACTAGGTTATATAAAAGAAAAAGTTAAATATATGTCACAACAACAAAAAACTTGAAAATGTAAGGTATTTTTGGAATGTGAGGTACTGTATGCTGACTTGTCCCAAAGCCCGCTTACTAGGATCTACACAACGAATCTATCCACCTAATAACGTAACCATCCATTCCTCCACTCACTCTCTTGAAATATAAAATGAAAGAAAATACTTTTAATATCTTACTCTTTCACGAAGAAGATCCTTAAAGGCTTCAATGGCCTCCTTCTTGTCTTTAAATATAAGTTTAGGCTCTGGTGTGCTGGTACGACTTCCAGGTGCTGAGTCCTTATTAGAGCTGCTGTCTTCATCAGCTGTAAGGCCCAGACATGCAATTGAAATTGTACTTGTAATATAAATACTATGACCTATTTTATATTTAATATAATCAAGTTAAAACAGGCACACACAACAAATTCACTTTTCAATGAAAAGGTAAAAGGTATTTACTCCTGCACCCCACACACCATAAAATGGGGTGCATGGCTTACAGGAGTATGAGTCATTGTGTACCTAACTGTATGTCTCTACCTCCTCTTTGTCCTTTAAAAGCTGGCTTGACCAAAACCTGCTTCAGTTACTATTTGAGAAATGAGTACAAAGGGTATGAGATTACAGTCTTTCACTGCAAGTGAAAAATTGAAGATAGTTCGAGTGGCTGAGGAAATTGGAAATTGAACTGCCGAGAGAAGGTTCGATGTCAGTGAGGCATGTATAAGAGACTGGAGGAAGAAGAAGGACCTTCTAATGGAGACTACAAGTAATCAAAGAGCCTTCAGAGGGTCCAAACTGAAGTTTGAGGTAATCAAAGAGGAGCTAGTGAGCTTTATTTGTGAGAAGTGGCAGTTCGGATAAGCTGTATCGATGGAAATACGCCGGATGAAAGCACTGGAAATAGCTAGGGCCAACACTTTTTACCAACATAAGCAAAATCTAAAAACAGTTAACTATTTAGGTGACATAATACATAATGAAATGAACACATATTTGAAAATATCCTTGCTGTGATATGTGTTTTAAGGCTGAGCATTCACCATTGGTGACAGTATCTGCTCTGTCATGACATTATTCATCTTGGGTTCAGCCAGCAGCCTGAGATCACAAAAACATGTGCATTATCAAAAGAGAGTCATGTTCCTTCCATCTCTGATGTGACAACACCAAAATCTGCAACTACCACCCTCACATTTTACTGTGGTCAAGTTGACATCCTGAATGGAGAAAAATGAAAATTGCTTTTTCCTTCACTCCACAGGATGTAATGTGGTGGACATTTCTTAATGCCTAAAACATGGAGGGAGTAAGGTACCTGGAGTTTCTGTTGCATCAGGTTTTTTTCCATGCACTCAATATTAATGATTTTGACTTAGCTTGTTGTGATCTGGTTTATGCAATATGATGGAAAAGCAAGCATTCAACAATTAAAGAACATTCTCTCTCTGTTACACATGTGTACCTCTCATATTATGTGTACAAAAGAAGTGATTTTTGTTTACAAACTGCCAGCTGTATATATTTTTCAAAGCAAAACTCCAAATTCATTTAATGCAAACAGTTACAAAAGAAAGCTTAATTCACTCATTATTACAAAGGACATAGTACATTTTTCATATGTGTAATATTAATAAATTAAGGTGATTATTATTTTGTTTGCTTTAATGAACTTCTCATCATACTTGTTCACATACCTGTTTTACTAGGTGGTGTAGGAATGCTTATTGCTGCTAGGGTAGCAGCCATTGCTTGGTCCATGGCTGATGATGCATTTGAATTCTTATTTGCTGTTGATGAAGGAGGTGGAGTGCCTTGATGAGTAGGTGGAACTGCAGCAGCACTAGGAGCAACAGCTCCTGCAGAAACTGGTACTGTTCCAGGAAGAATTGGAACAGGTGGTAAACTGATGCCAGGACTCAACTGACTTGGAACTCCAGCTACCGGTGGCCCAGATGTCACTACAGATGACAATGGAGTCATCTGCATGGGCTGAGTTAACACAGGGCTTGACATAGGAACTGAAATACTTACAACACACAGACAAATAAATTATTAACAAACTGTTAAAGACACAAGACTCTTAGATGACAATTTTAACCTTACAACATAGGATCACTTTTATGTATAATGTGCACTTAAGTATGTGCAGTATCTGGCACTCCGCACTCCATTAAGGTGGTCCAAATGTCCATTCTGTATATTTCACAGCACTCTGTAATAAAGGTTTAAATAAACAGCAAAACCATTCTATATTATTATCATGGAAATGTCTGAAAGAAACTTCATAGTAAAGTTCATATTTATTCATTACTGATATAACCGCTGCCACCATCACCCTTCACAGGCCTTCTTGAAATGAGGCAGGAATTACAAAACAGAATTTTTCCATCTTTTCTGAAACAATTCTGCCTCCAGATCATGCTTTTTAATTCTCTAGATCCTATCAGAGCTCATTCTTCCAACATAATTTATTTTTCAATTTTCTCTGTGACCTGAAAAATATATTACTTACTGTCAAAATTTGTAATCCAGTCATTATCAAATGTGTTCAAGTCTTAAAATTTGAGTTAAAACATCCCTTTTTCAGATATACATTCAAAGACCTTTCTCAGTTTCTGGGAGCTGGACAATGGCTCATTTTGCAATTGCAGTTCCACAGAAATACAATCTCCCCCTTCCCAACAACAACAATAACAATAATGTCTCCTAAATGAAACATTTTACTATCAGTTTTAACATGCCATCTCTTGAATTCATAAACAAAAAAAGTGAGTAGCAACAGAACAACAACAGATATACCTATCCAAAGCCAAAAAGCACAGTTTCTTTGGAAAAGGGGAAAGACATAAAAACAGACACTGCATCACAGTCTCACCTGTTTCCAGGAGGAAGGACAGATGCAGTACCAGGAGCTGCCGATGCTGCTGTTTCTTCTGCTGCAATTTGAGCCTTCAATTCCTCTAATTCTTTAGGTACAGTCCATCGTGACTCTTTGGTGCTGACATTGTGATAATAAGTTTTTCCATTTTCTGATCGATATTCTTTCCAAGGGCACTGTGACAAGAGAAGCTGAAAGAAAGTAATCAGATTATTTGATCATCATGTGTTATAGTTATTACCACAACAATTTCAATTTTTATGCATGGAAATAAATGGAATCATACCTCAGCTGGAGTTTTCAATTCATCTGGCTTCTCCCACAGACTCTGCTTTGTCAATGAATTATAATAATAGGTCCTTCCATCTGGAGCCTTGTGCTCTGTCCAATCTGACTGACTCTTCGCCTCTGTACCATCTCCAATATGCGAAGCATCTCTGTAAGGGGGGAGAAAAAAAATCAGACACTAGAAGTACCAAAAAGCAAACAATCATTGTTTAACTAACAGCATACAAAAATCTAGGTTGCAGTACAACATTTAATTTTCCAGAAGGTAGCCCAATAGGAATTCAGATATAAATGTTAGAAACGGATGTCTTTATGGCTTAATCCTTTTATACTTACTAATGATAAACAAGAATGTAACCATGCATATGAATGGCTTAACTCACAGGTATTCTGTTGCTCCAAGAATGGTATCAAGTCAAAACATGCAGAGTTAAAATATAATACTGGAACTAGCACAGAATGTGTCTTGTATCTGATGACTTCGTAAAACTTGATTACTATATTAGAATAAATACAGCACTTCTAAAGATAAATGTATTTACAATAAGTAGTACATATCAAAATTAATAATAAAAAAGACAGCCATCTTCATACTTGCTGCCACAAGAACCTCAAATTTCACACAAAAAATTCCAAGCCAATAAAAATAAAAATAATAATAACAGTAAATGTCTTCACCTTTATACAACCTTCTAGAAAAAGATAAAAAATAATAGGTCTGTATATAATACTGAACTATGTAAGAGTACAAAAGTTGAAGCAGTAAATGAAAGAAGGATGGGAAACACTATTTTAGGCTTGTAATGACATGAAATCTACTGCCCTTTATTTATATCTATGATGATATAGTTTTAAATATGGCCTATTACATTAAAGGAGAGCAGGCATACTGGTACACAGTATAGGAAAGGAAACTACTGAAATATTATTTCATCCATAAATACCTACCCTTGCTGTGGTGCAACAGATCCTCCAGGACCAACATTTGCTGCATCTGCTGAATTTGATGTACCACCAGCAGTCAACTGTGGTCCAGCTGAAATGGCAGAACCACCACCCCATAGTGAAACATTTACAATCAAGTATAAAAAATTATTACTAATTATAACAGCAGTGTATATTACTTTACAAAATTCAATGATAAAGATAATTACAGGTTATTATGAGCAATGACTAGTACTGAATTCTATGCTGACAAGCAGAAAACATCTGTTAAGACATTAAAAGGGTGTTTAAAGTGAAAACAATTCATCTCTTTACAGTAGGAAGACTGATATCACCTTATTAGTTGTGATGGACAACTCTTGTAAAGCATACATCGAAGGAAGAATCCCAACACACATCCATAACATATGATATTCATTTCACAGTGGTGGTGTACGTCAAGTCATGCACCAAGTTACAAATGAGAGTTATATCTGACTTTTGGTGTCATATAGCATACAACTACTGTCCACATACCAGGAGAAAAGCCCTGCGGGGGGAAGTCGTTTCTTTGGCGGTGCAGGCGGAATCTAGTGGTCTAGAGGGCTGCTATTGGTGGAAGTGTGATATGTCAGAGTTTTACACTACTACTACACACAGACTGAAAACATCAAGCAGTTAAGAGTAGCGTGTAGTGAGTGTACCTCTAATGTGTTCTGTGGGTGTTGTGATAATATTCTACATTAAATCACTGTGCTACTGTGAGTTAATCTTAAAGCTGTACCCATCATATCACATGAAAGCCTGTTGTCTGTTGTTCGTTCAGTGGTTGTGGAACGAATGCTTTTAGGATGGGTCGTCACTTACCACGAAATCTTGCGCATGCGTGTATATCAAAATCCTAGCAGGGCTAGCAAATTCACTAAACAACGATTTCCAAGGTTTAATTTGCAAGAATGTCAATAACGCTTGTGCTCAGGTCAGTCATGTCTTGCCAGGTGTTGCCACACTTCAGAAACTGGGCCACAGCAAACAGTGATGAGGTTATTTTTACATGTTTTTTACTCTATTTCAGGATTATTACAAACACTGGTTGCTTGTAAGAAGTGAATGTGCACCTATATTCTGACACAATGTATCTGGGACTCATATGTCTTCAGAATAATATGGCCATAGGATATGATATGGTAACAAATGACAAAGTTCGTAAAAAAAATTTCAGAAGCACTACAGATCCTTTTCTCACATAAATTTAGCCCAGTTAAACCACACAATCAGGCTTCTACTTTCAACAGAAAAACTCTGACAATATATTTAAATGGGTTTCTATATTTGTTCAACAAATATGACAACAAGCAAGGTTTGTTCACATTAAATTAATTTACTCACTTGAATATTATTTTCCTTATATTAAGAACTACAGTTAACAAACAGAAAATCAATCAACTCCCCAAGTCACTAAGAAACCATATCTCTCAGTTCTGAAGCTTTACCCAAAAGTCCACCATGTAAGAATGAACAACAATGTCATCAAAGGTGATACTGTTTATAAAGCCCCAATGCATGAATACACATGCTTCCTTACTTACTTAATCCATGGAGCCAAGTCCTTCCTGAGAAGCCAACAGTCACTCAGCCACTCAACACATACCTAACATTTTATGGAACCCAAACGTTCATTTCTGTGTTTACAAGAGAGTGACATTGGTCCCTTTCCTGAGCCAGATGAATCTAGCCCACATCACCCCATCCTATTTCTCTTAATATCCACTTCAATATTATCCTCCACCTATGACTAGGTCTTCCTAATGGTTCTTATCCTTCTGGTTTGCCCACCAAAACTCTGTATGCATTTCTCTAATCTCCCATGTGGGCTACAAGCCCTGCTCATATCATCCCCCTTGATTTGATCAGTCTAATTATATTTGGCAAGGACTACAACCTATGAAGCTCCTCATTATGTAATATTCTCCAGCCTCCTTGTAATTCATACCTCTTAGGTCCAAATATTTTCCTCAGCACCCTGTTCTCAAACACCCTCAGTCTATAATCCTCCCTTAGTGTCTGAGACAAAGTCTCACACCCATACAATACAACAGGCAAAATTATATAGTTTTGTATGTTTTTAGACATCACACAAGAAGAGAAAAGGTTCTGAACTGAATGACTGCAAGCATTACCCAAATTTAACCTGCTCTTAATTTCCTCATAAATCAAGTTTTGATTTATTACTGTCACTCCCAAATATCTGAACTTTGCCACATTTTCAAAGGATCCACTACCTATAATTATGTTATGATTTTCCCATGCATTCCGGTAACAAGTCATCAACATATACTTAGTTTTCTGTGTTTTTACTTCAAGACCAACCTTCTTATTAAAATAAATAGGACTTATGTGTTTTATTTTGTGGTATTTATGTTATCCCCCAATAAACTTACATCATCAGCATGGACCTGATACTGAAGTGTCCCATTCTATTTCAGCCCCACTTTTTTTTTGACATTCTTAATGGCATATTCTAAAGCAAAGTGGAAAAGCAATGGTGATAAAGCATCTCTTTCTTTTAAACCATTTTGAACAGGAAACAGGTCAGACAAATTTTTATCTATACATACTTTACTACAGGTTTTGTTTAAAAACATTTCAATAAGCCAAACTAGTTTGATGGGTATACCAAATTCAATAAGAATAATGTACAATACTTCCCTCCTAACCGAATCACACACTTTCTGTACAGTCTCATTGCACTCTCATTTTTCTCTAGTATCTTAGAAACACAAGATAATTTTAAATGCCAAAATGGAAGGTGATAGAAAAAGAGGATGCCCAAGGAAAAGATGGATAAATAATGTAGAACAAGATCTTAGAAAGTTAGGAATACATAAATGGAGATCAAGAGCTGGGGATCGTCAGCAGTGGAGGGCTGCCGTGAGAGAAGCCAGGACTGTACAGCTGGAGATCATCATCTTACAAATTCAAAAAATGTGACCACTAGTTTACCTATTGCATCGAAACCCATACTGATAATCCCAATAATTTTGTCTAAGTATGGACTTGACCCTGAGAGAAAAATGTTGGATAAAATTTTGTATGGAGCTGAAAACAGTTATATGCCTTGATAATGAACAGTCAATTTTTCATAATTTTTTTAACCTGTAATTTTCATAAATTATAAATAAATATTACTCGACAAATTACAATACCACTGTGGTTAGGAGGCGCGGGAGGTCCTCCGAATCCAAAACCCGGTGGAGGAACACTAAATGATGGTATGAGCGGCGGTGGCAGACGTATATCTCCTGGACCAGCCCCAATCGGAATTCCTGGAGTAGGTATGAATCCTGGACCTCTCGGTGGCATCATCGGTGGTGGAACATTAACAGGAGTGTAGCCTGGCCCAGGAGGTGTACCACCCATACCAGGAGGGCCATACGGCCCCGACATAGTGCCATTGGGAGGGCCTTGTCCACTACTTGCAGCCTTGAATAATCAAATTACCGAAATATCAATACAATAACTGGTTGTTTACATCCGTATGTTGAACTCACATTATAAACACACTTACCATTGTATTTAATTAAAACTTAGATGAAAATTCACTTCGAAAATATAACCTCACCTAACCGCAGTTTCATTCTCTGCCATATTACCATGCATGTAACTCTACAATAAACCCGGTGTTTTATATAATCTGTGCATTGTACACATCTTACCGATAACCAATTCCTAGTAACATATACCAGTTGTCACCACGGCGCTCGGATCACCCGTGGTGGAAGAAAGTAAGGTGTCGCCACACGAAGGACGAAAATTGAACTGAAATGAACAGCCGATGTCGTGTTTCCATCTATTGGTGACTTTGCGAACTACATTTTCTGCAACATCACAGCTCGCGAATGGTTCCGCGAATTTTGTCCATAAGTTTACTTTTACTATCCTAAAATTGGCAATACAAACGCGATAGGTTCTTAGCGTCGTGAAGGGTACGTTAACGACGCCTTTCCCCATAATGATCTGTGAATGCGCGGTTATCTTCGCATTGTTTCCACAGTGACCACTGGTATTCTTTTCGTTGCTCTGATCACTGATATCAGTCTGTATTCATGCGAAGAATTTGAACAAATTTGGTATGGACGTCATGACATTGGTGTCCCCTCTCTTACACTGTTTATTTTTTTTCAATCGTTTATACCAACGTGATGGTTTGACACTTCATTTATTCCCACCACGAGATTAGCTACACAGAATAACGTCATCTGTGCCTTTTCTGCCATCAGCGAAGAGGGCTGGTACTTTTATGAAAACTCGTAAATACCATATAACTATGACAAAGAACTTCCGAGACCTAACCTCTCATCGGAGAGGGCGTCCGACAGAGAAAGAATGCAAATGTCAAGACTCAGACTACTAAACTGAGTCAGTTGCAACGTAACTTCGACTTGGACCGTTCTGCCACCTATCCATCAGAAATCCCCAGTACAACACGACGGTAGTGTTAGCGATAGCTTAGAGAATAATAACGTTAGCAACTGCTGCCTTTGTCGAATGGACAGATTTTATGCTCCATATTCGCACAAGTGAAATCCAGGACATGGATCCTTACTTATGCCGAACTGTGTATGCTTGCGCTGAAGAAGTCTTTATTAACGATCAAGAATGTATGTAACAAAGTTACGAAAGCCATGCTTCATTGCAGGGAAATTCAATTCTGTAAAACTTCTACGAGGTGGTAGACAAGGCCATGTAGAGTCCAATTCGATATATCGTTCCATATATTGTCCACCTGGTCAACTGTCATAACACGATGATAGTGTAACAGATGGGTTTGTTATGAGTACGTGGGGTAACTTTTTATTCTTGTAATACCGTAATACCTTATGCCAAGTCGTCAGTTATTGGTATTTAAGAAAGCTTGTTCGTCCGTTCTCTGCACAAGGTAATTATTTACAATAATTTTAACGTTTAACTTTAAAACTCGAATCTCATGTTCCCCAAGATCTGAACCAATTGCAGTGTGATAAATGTGAGTATTGTAGGATTGCGTGCAAAGGAACTGTTAAAAGTTTGTTATACTTTGGTAACTTGCAAGTAAGTTTATTTGTATACGTCCCCACCACTCGAGATGCTCATAACACAAGACTTCTGTAATGTGGTTAAATATCTCCTGATCAAGCATGCTTGCATACAGTCCACTATAATATTAGGAGTTACTGAATTCAATCACAAAAGATCTGAATCATGAATTCAGATATGCATTCAACGAATCATTTCATGTAACAAAGCAAAACATTTTGATTGACATATTTATTTTTCATATTGTGACTCTGTCACATAAATCTGATAAAGACAACAGTAATGTAACATTAATGAGAATAAAATCTCTAGATAGGACATTCCATTTTGTAAAGGTTTTCTTGTAAGTGCTTCATTTGGAAGTTTTGGTTAGAAAGAAAAATATGGAATTTTCCTGTTCTCACAGAAAAATGACCTGTCTTTCAGAACTTTACCAACACAGTGAGCTCAAATTCATGCTCATTACCACACAAAATAACACTTAATTTTGCCACAAGATTCAGGCCTCTTTTCGCATAGTTACAGGTCAATCAACTGTTGTCACATCATTCAGTTCTGTTACAAGATAATGCTTTACCTAGGATTTGGTTTTAGCATTTGAGAAGTATTTTCCATTATAATTACTAGCACTTAAATACTATTTGATAGCTAAATAAAATTAATACTATTCATAATGTTGCTCTGAGTATGCATATTTTAGTTGGATGTGGTATACTCAGATTAATGCGCTGCAATAAACATATGTGATGATAATTAAAATAAAAAAGTTATACTTTAAAATAATGTGAAGTCACAAGATTGTTTTTATTCTTTTGTATTAACATTCTGTAACCAGTGCACATGTGCTATGGAAGATGACTACAGGTACATGTGATGTCACAGTTACAAATTATCAGTTTATATGGAATCATGCACTAAGAAGAGATACATTATATTATTTGACTTCTGGTGGCTGAAGGTGACAAACCAGCATATTTTTATTTTGGCGTAAATACGTCTATGCGGAAGGGTCATTCGGCAAAAAAGCGTAACTAAGTTGTGTAACGAAGCTGTGTAAGATCCATATGAACAATGTGTAAATATGGATCGACAACAATGGTCAGCTTTTATATGAACTCCTGCGTGCATTGTTATGTTACCTAAGAAACTAATTGTTATGTCATCTGTTTATTTGTCATTGATGTGTTATATTACTGCTGTCAACAATCCGCTTTCGTTATTGCGGAAAGAGCTGAGCTGTGAATCACTTGTAGAAGAAGTGCATCGTAGAGTAGATAATTTTGTGCTGGTAACAACGTTTTAGAATATCACAAGTAATTATCTTATATAAGAATTATTACATTACATTTTATTACATTACATTACAGAGACATATTTATGTCAGATTCTCCGGAACTGTGGTTCCACTGTCAACTTTTTATTCTTTCTTGTTGTAATAGTTTTGCTTAGTACTGATATAGAAATTGCTCTCCAGACTCTGATAGCCTGTAAATAATATTATGAGTAATTTATTAGAGCAATATTCCTATTATTCTCAACTTTAGGTTTGTTTTCAGTTTAACTGAAACCAAAAGGAAGATTGATATTGATAATAATGTAAATGAAGAATTTAATGTAATGAAAGAGATGTTCAAATCAAGTAAATTTTGTTTGCGTGGCACCTGAGTAATTTAAATTTGTTGTTTATATTTGTTTCATATAAAAGTTACAGTCTTTCATACACTGTACTCAAACTTTAACATGATTAGTATTCAGCATCATGCTTTTACTTATAAACAATTTCAGTAAATGACCAACATAAACACATAACAGTATATAACAAAAATAATTAAAATATCAACTTTGTTGACTAGTAAAACATGAAGAGTATTCACAGAGTCTAGTTACCTGATATATTGTTTAATAACTTGAAAAGTTTCTCAGTTTGTTAGATCAATCACTCTTCTGCAGATGTTTGATCCTACATAGTTGTTGATTAAAGTTTGTATTTCTTAGGAATACAAGCACTTAGGCCCATTATGTTAGGTGGCATATATGCCATGGTATGACTGTTGCAGAACTTTTCAGGTAACTTACTGCAGATTTATAAGAATCTTATAACAGATCTTGCCCAAGATTATTTAATTTTAAGAAACACAGTAGTAGCATCGAAAAATGTGAAAATGTTTTTGTTGCAGTTTGATTTGTAAAACCATGCCTGGCGTTTTGACACAAAAGTAATGTTATGTATGTCGTTTTTAAACACGAATCTATCAAAACTTTACATAAATTATTATATTCTTATTTATTTCGTACAGGTATCTAAAAAGAGCTAATCCGTTTTGTACTGTAAATTTGAATTGTGAATGTGAGCCAGCAGCTTAGATACCAGTCATACATGATACTATCTCTTAATACGCCTTTTATGGCAAATTAATACAACTATACACATTTTAGTTTTGTACTAATGAATAAGGAATATAATCTCGTTGAGCTGTGATGGGAAAAAGAGGAGATGGTCCACGCACGGCGTCTACAACCCCAGTTTTCCCACCACCTGTCAGTAATTCGCTCATAAAGGATATATACGTAATGGCCAACCTCAGAGTCTCAATACGAGATAAACGTTTTTCGTAGGCGAAAGTCGGCACTTTGCGACGAAGTTTATCAAACGCTTCGTTCAAATTAAACATACGACGACGCTCGCGAATATTGGCAGCCCGCCGCTGGGCCATTGTTGCTACCCGGCGTCGTGGTTTCTTATGACTGCCGCTTCCATTCTGCGCTGTGCCTCCTGTTCTGGGACCAAACCTGGAAAATAATATTTTTCGCGTCAGTAATATTCCCTGTCTGCTGTCCGCGACCGCTTATTCAGTGTTCGCAGCTACACCGTACTTGGAGTCTTCTCCTCAATCACCATGCCTGGTGTCAAGGGAACACACAACGTGGATGTGACATTAATCGTGTAATATTGCTGTTAGTTTGATTCACATGCGCTAATCCAATAACAGAACCAACAAACTTTATTTTTAGTCTCTCTCACGTGCGTGAGATCAATAGTGAAAACAGCGAACTGGGATTGTTATAAAGAGGAGCTTCATTATCAATTTCACGGAGCAGAGTCTTACTTCAGAAACTACTCGTCGCTCAGCTGGTCAAGAAATTCAGGTTTTTTTTATAAAACTAGACGGTTCAATACTGTGTTCTCAGGAGCCCGCCATTGGTCTCTGTCCTCAGCCAGATGAATCCGGTCCACACCTTCATCGTTATTACTTTAACCGTTTGAAGCTGAAACTCGTCTAAATATTATTTAATAAATCAGTCCGTACCGCGAAGAAAACACAACACTTCACCATTACAAATGACAACTGGTTGACGCTGTTTAAGGAAATAATCCCTGTTTACACTGAGAACAATCCGAAACCCATACATACAAAAGGCAGAGTTATTAACCGTGTGAAGCAGGTGGTACATATAGTTACCACTGGTTCTTAAAGGGTTAAGATATGGGCCTATTTTTTATCTTCGCATCTACGCTGAGGACTTGCATGTGGTCTCTTCTCTCTCTCTCCCCCCCCCCCCATTTTTCCGACGAAAGTTCTGTAAGCATTTTATATCTCTATGCTGCATACACCTCCCATCCTACCCATCTTAATTTTATCACCCTAATCATAATACCTAATTGCATTGTGGTCCCCGTGTGTGCGTGTGTTTTAGCCTCTCCAGCGCGTTCCTTTAATGGTTCTCGTCTTCGGTGCTTTTTGTGCCTTCTTCAGTGTCTTTTAATATAAAAAGTTCACCCAGAAAGTTGGCCTAAAATTGGGCGGAAGGGGCCCCTGGGAGTCCTAGGTGAAGAATGCGGTAATACTCAAATTAAACAGGGTTTGTGGCTGTGGAGCGCGTACCCCAGTGGCGGGCTGTTTTGAACACGGTAACGAAAACATTAGGATTCTAGCTGAACGATCTTCAACTCATTAAGGACTCTGTTCCGTGGCGTTAATCAGCCTCTTCACGGAGCTTTAAGAAATGTTGCTGGGTGTTTGAAAAATCAATCTAAGTATAAAACGATATACAGTTAGCGAAGTATGATGTAATGTTTGTGTATATGGTATTAGAATATCCCATATCGTTGTAGGGTGTCAACTTTCTTATCGGAATGTGAAATATTGTGGGGCGGCAATAGAATATCCTACTGTGGAAGAAAATATAACTGGATAGACGATAAATTCGCTATCAGCTTATGTATAGTTACGTAGACTTGAGCTACAAGCTTTCATACCGGTACAGAGAAATGGCGAATGCTGATGTGGGTATCAAACGGAAGTGCTGAACTGTAACTTTCGAGTTAACAGCAGTAAACACAAGTAGAGTTTACAAGGCAAATTTCAAATCCGTAAAAACTGTGGGTGCAGTAGGATTTCTGTAAAAGCACAAAGGTAAGGTATTTCGACTTGAGGTTCTCACAGCGGTGAGTATGAAGATTTCTGACTTCTGGGTTGTTGCGCTGTGTAGTCTGGTCGATGTTTACCAACGTTTCAGAGGTCATACTGCCTCCGTCATCAGGGCGATATTCATCGCCCTGATGACGGAGGCAGTACCTCTGAAACGTTGGTTAACATCGACCAGACTACACAGCGCAACAACCCAGAAGACGGAAATCTTCGTAAGGTATTTCGTCGCATTTCATCAGACGAATCTCATTTTTGAGACAGGCCTAAGTTTGTAACACGCTCTCAAACCAACAAAATCCATGGTACAGGATTTTTATGTAAAAATTCAGAATTATTCAAGTGTTGAATAGATTGTTTGCTTTTATATAACCCGAAGATCCATCACCGTGCTAACAAAAAAATTCTGTGGGATTCCCATCCTGATTCATTTCAACCAGTACGCATCTTTACAAATTTCTGTAGAATATATTTTGTTATCCGCCCAATTACGGGATAGTCTCTTAATTTTTATCGAAGCGTTTGTGCGTATTTGTTGTCTGCATGTGTGCTACAGAGTCCGATCTATCAGCTCTTCTGTGATAATTGCCTTTACAGTATTAATTTATGGGCATCAATTATAAAGCTCCTCTTTATGTACTATGCAGCTGAAACCGCTGGTTATTATGCGTTCTTTGCACGATGTTCAAGAAATGAACGCAAACATGGCTGGTCCTGTCTGTCTGTCCACATGATTCAACCCGAAAACCGTTGGACGGATATATTGTAGATGAAATCTGGTGTGTACGTTATATCATTGGTGACTACCCTAAAGTCGAACATGGCTGTCTTTCGGGTTGTAACGCCGTGTAATTTGGTACAAGTTTACCCAGCGTTTAACACCTTCAATTATCATCACTCTGATGATGGAAGCAACAATGACATCTGAAACGTTGGTAAACGTCTACCAGACTACATGACGCTGCAATGCAGAATACAGCCATCTTCGTACTCGCTGCCGCGAGAACCTTAAATCTTACCCTAAAATGCTTTTCAATTTTCTACAATAGGTAATACCAACATGGTGGACGAACAAACTTGTGAGATGGAATCGTCACTAGCGCCACTTGTAATAGAACCATATAATTATGTATGGTAACAGACTTTTGGAAGATACGGAACTTTGGAGAAACAAATCTTTGTATAAAGATTTCCGTCTTCTGGGTTGTTGCGCTGTGTAGTCTGACTACACAGCGCAACAACCCAGGAGACGGAAATCTTCATACTCACCGCTGTGAGAACCTCAAGTCTTACAAATCTTTGTATAGTTTAAAACAAGAATATGACCGCTGCATGAAAGGAAAAAAAAAGAGTTTATCAGGATTTGATCTCGGAACCCTGTGATCACGAATCCCGTTTGGTACCACAGAGCTAAAGCGCCATATAAGTATCATTGATTTACGGTTCTTGAAGGAGACTAAGACCACGTGATTTGTATAGTCTTGAACCCAGAGCTGTCTAAGTAAGATAACTGGTAGTCTTTTATCAACATTTCAGAATTTGCAAAGAACGCATGTGTATATTCCGGTACAGAATACGCCTTCACAGACTTGTTTTTCGATAATTACCCGTAGACTAATTTTCATTCGAGTTCACTGTGCATCTCGCTATTAGCGGTAACGATTATCCGTATTCCCATGTAGGATTTTAGGTTTTCACGGCGGCGAGTTTGAAGATGGCTGCCTTCTGGGTTGTTGCGCCTTTGTAGTCTGGTAGAAGTTTACCGACGATTCAGAGGTACTAATCGCCTGATGATGGAGGCAGCAAGGACCTCTAAAACATCGGTAAACCTCTACCAGACTACAAAGGCGCAACAACCCAGAAGGCAGCCATCTTCATCCGTATCCTCATACCAGGAAGCTCTGGACTGCTAGAGAGCATTGGACTGAAGCGTTGAGGTACCTTTGCTGAATCATGCACTGGGCTCTGGTGTGGCCGTTGTTGCTGTGGGGCGCTGTGGACCACAACTCGCTAGCGAAACCAAGCAGCTCGGGGTGTGTTCCGTGATAACCCAGGGCGGTTCCGGGTCCGTGGTGTTGGTCCCACAGAGATGAGTAAGAGGTCAGATCCCCATAACTGGGTACGCCAATGTCCGTCGTTCCTAACGTCTGGGAATATACACAAGAGCTATTAAGTTGGGCACTGCACGTGACGGGGAACAGATCCGTCAACAGTGACGAAAGAGCCGATGTACCGCGTGCTACTAAAAAATTTGAATACTATCCATTCATATAAATGGATCGTGCTTCAGAAAAGAATTAGTACCGTTAAAATAAACGCTGCGTGTGACGGGAAATGTGAATAAGAGCAGATAACAGCTGCAGCATCTGACGAGAAGGTGGAACAAAAACCAATACAACAGCTTCATCATCTGGCGGTAAATAAAACGTCTTCAGAGTAACTCTTGTGTGGGGCGGATGGCAGAGATGAGTTGCTAAGTAGCTGTGCCGTGTGATTCAGCAAAAAATAACAAGAATCACTAAAAGCGATAGACTGTGTCAAAGAACACAAGTGAGCAACATGAAAAAGCATCAGATTATGAAGGATGGCCTGTTGAAATAATAAACCGAATGAAATGTCACTGTTTATTCACGTTTATTTTCTCACAGAAACAGCCTTCTTTAATTCGGTTTGTTTTAGGCTGATCCTTACCAGCTTGAATTTCCGTATCACCCTCATTGCTTGCTTAAGCTAACTTCTTAATAAGAACGTTCGTCACTGAAAATTAATTTAGTTTCGTGATTGGTGTTCACAGACAAGGGAATGCTTACCAATGTGTGTTTACTGAGGATTGCATGTGCGTGCTTGAAAACCAATATGCCAAGCCAGCAAGTTCCTTATCTCGTAACCGACGAACACTTGTCTTTGTGCTGTAGTGGTGGAAGTTTGCTGTCAACTTATGCGAAAAAAGCTGTCTTATTCATTCTTCGTTACTACACTTCTGTGCCATACTGACATATTTCTTATATTCATCATCAAGGCGATGTGTACTCATCGCCCTGATGATGGAGGCAGCATGGACCTCTGAAACGTCAGCAAACTTCTATCAGACTACACGGCGCGAAAACTCAGAAGACAGCCATCTCCGTTCTAAAATATGTTAATATTTCTTTGGATAATGTTAACAAAATTTAAGAATCGAGCTTTCGACAAATGATCCGGTGTATTTTTCCTCGACCTAGATTCATAGACTAGGGTTTGGTACTGTTTGGAGATTGGGTTTAGCAGGCCCCGTAAACGTGTAACTCCGACTGTGTGTTTGGAGATTCGGGCCCCAGGTGGAAGTCTGAAGAAGAGGGGCATTTGGCACTTAGGATCGACAGCAAATGTAGGAGTTTATAACTGGAGTGAAGGTACCATAGCTAGAAAGGAGAATAGACTGATATTCAGTGCCCATACATCCAGTTATATGTGTAACGTAATTAATAAACAATAGTCCAATTTAAATTAGTCGCTGAGGGTACCGTCACAGTAATAAACTTGTACACTTGAACGGAATGAAAATGTGTTCTCCATATTATTTTCTGTCGTAGAACAATTGTTAATTTATTTCTGTTTTTCATTTAAGGTTATTTATTATTTTGGTTACTTAAGAGAGCAATTTACACGACTGTATTATTCATAAAATATTTGTTCACGTAAGAAAGTCAATGCCATTTAAATAAGTTCATTAGATTTAATGCCAGTGACAGTCATACAGAAGCAGGTGTAGGGTATTCTTCACAGGCTTCCTGCGAATCGGATATCGTATTGCCCTCGTTTACATTGTTTGGTGAATTACTGTATGTGACGTTCTTCCTACAGCATAGTTAACACTAGTGTGAAAACCACTAAGTATCGTCAACAATAATTTGTTCCGGGAAATATTTCGACAAAATATTTTATAAGTTCAAGTGTCTAAGAAATTCAGCGTAAACAACTGGCAGATATATTTTAGTCGTTAACGTACGTTGCCCGCTTTGCCTGAACAATTATTTATTACAGGCAAAGACTTGGTAACTGTATCAGTCGCTGAACCGGTTTCGAAATACCCAATTCTTGCGATGGCGCAGGGGGAAAGAAGAATATTATTTATTGACTTATTTACAGTTTATTTAACGACGCTGTCCGTATCTCAGACTATATAGCGCCATTAGCTAATGATTCCTTATAGTTCGGACGCTCATACTGCAAAATTCGGATAAATAACAGTCACATTCACTTGCTGTGTAAGCAGCCCATTTCACTGTCAGTGGTAGTCTTATATCTAGGTTTAATGTTGATGTTTGTTATGGAAAGTCAGTGTACAAAAACTATACTTTATTAGGTCATCAACAAATCAAAGCGTAACAGGATTCCAAAAATATTTGTATCTTAAAAAGAGGACGTAGCAGGAAGACGAATAAAAATGATGAAGAACTTCATAATTTGTACTATTCGCCTAGTATGCTCAGGATAGAGTTCAGTAAACCAGACTCATGTGCCATACGAATATACGCCCTTTGAGTGAAACGAATTAATGAAGGTTGAAGCATGTGGTCCAAATAATTATTGCAGTGCTGTGAAGAATGTTTCTGTGGTTAAGATTTTAAGGTACTGGCATAATGAGATGTATAAAATTATCCAACATGGTACGTACCGTAGCCGGTGTATTGGTGGTTGCAGCTGGTAGTTCCCACAAGGGTTGATCCCCATTTCCAGCTCCTAGACCATGCACAAAACTGGACATAGCAGTACTTTTCCCGGATTTTTTAATTTTTATTACGTGTTCCTAAGACAACTCGAAATGAACCTATTTTAAAATGTCATTTAATTACGCTTTACAAAAGCAGTTTAATGACTAGAAGAATTACATAAATTTACGCGAAATTATTAAGTTTCATTAAATTTCCCGTTAATCGTAAGCATGCCAATAATACGGAACTGTCCACACTGCTTGACTTAAGTCTAATTGTAAATCTAGGAAACTGCCGTGTGACAGTGATATATATAAGCCTATGTAAGAGACTAACAATATATCCCGATGTTTTGACAACTGTGTAGTACACAGGCTACTGTGTTTCACAATATCTAATCATGATTTAACCACGCCTTCAACCCCTATTATATACCAACCCTTCATTACATACGTAACGCCATTGGACCATCCCCTGAGTTTGCGCCGTACATAATGATATGTTTAACCAACCCCTGCGATCTTCATCTCGGTTGCCATGGTTACTGTGTTGTAATCTTAAAGCTTTATTTTATATTTGAGGAAAATGTGACATTTATTAGGACGTACTTAAAGATTCTTTCGAAATTTTTATGGAATAAGCGACGCGACTTATTCTGTTACCGTGGTTATATATAGGCCTAGTGTTTCTTGAATTGCCGTCGTCCACCTGTTCGAGAAATTCCCTGTTGTTCTGCAAACGGAGGCCCGTCACCGTCATTACAAAAGCCAGTTATTGGACCCTACCCTGAGCCATCTGATTCTTGAATCTCCTTGGAACTGAGACCTGCTTAAGAAGTTAACAGTCGCTCAGTTATTTAAGAAATTCTGCGCCCTTTTTGTAACCAAGAGACTGCCGCTAATTTCTGTCCTGGCCTACACGAATCCTTTCTAATCAAAATGTTGTGTGAATTTCTGTTTCTCCCACCAGAGTTGCATATTAGGCCGAAGTCAACATAACGTACGTACTAGAAAGGGGCCTGCAAGCTCTGAAATCCATTATTCAACGTTCTGCATTTCCCTGTTGGTTAATTTGCAGTAGTTCTGAAATTTTGAAGGGTTAAGGCGAAGAAAAAGATTTTTAAGCACAAGTTTTACAAATATAATTCAATGGTTTCCAAACACACAAACAATTATAAGTTAATAAACATTTTTTTAAAATCTTTAGTTACATTTTTACGTACAATAGACGCATCGGCCTATGTAGTAATTTAGGCCTACGGATGTAGTTTGTAGTAAATGATCTGTCAGAATTAAACTTTCACGCATGTAGTGCACAGTTCATAACAACAGCATATTAGTAACGTTAATATTATGTTCGACATTTCCCATTACCTGAGGTATATTTAGATAGGCTGTAAGGCGTTTCGAATCTTGAGCTCTGCTTGCGTCTTCATGAGTCTGATCGTCATACTTACAGATTTTTTTACGTTTTAATATTAATGGCCGCGGTTAGAGTCTAACCCGGGATATTTGAATATTTGGTTAAAACGCGAAGCACGACGACCCTTCAGGCGATATTTTAAGTCCAATCAGTTTTTATGAGCACAGAGAAATTGAATTTGTTACAAACATGGGATGAGAGGTGACTGTCTCATACAACGTACGTAATGTATGTTACTAACTGAACACCCCTCCTGACAACTCATTTCGATGTGCATTTACATAGACGCGGGTTTCGTGAATGGTATATAACTGATGTGTGTTCTCTTTCTGGGCTATGGTATGGTAGAGATGTAGGCTGTATTTCCGACGTTTCGCCTTCAAAGTGAGACAGAAATTATCTCTGAAACATTGGCAGTACAGCTTACATATTCATGGCGCCATCTCACAGAAATAAGATGCACGTTTTGTGGGATTTGAGGTTTTAACGGCAGTGAAGATGCCGATGTTCGTTTTCTCTCAGCCCTGAGGATGGCGGCAGTATGTTCCTCCGGAACAGTGGTACCCAGCTACAAGTCCACACGTCTTTACAACCCAGAATACCGACATGTGCAGGATCCGCAATATCTTAGATTTATGAACGACAGAAAATATTGTTATAATCTGTAGGATGATAAACGCTTTGCTGTCCTGTAACGACAAAAGTTCTGAAACGGTCGACAGATTACGGTTCGAATCGTAATTTAGGTTACATCAGTGCACTGTGAAAACAGATTGTCGTTAGAATATAATCCGTAACACTTGCAGGCGGATATGAACGTCGCAACATATGGTTCAGTTGTTAGCTACGCAATGTATTAAACGCCAATTATGGAAATCGCTGCCATCCAATACGCATCACTTTATTAATATGGAGGGAAAGTTCCATGGAATCAAATTTGAGGAGTGAGGGAGTACAGTGTCTAATATAGGGGATGAAAAGCTGGAATAAAGAAGGGGCAGTTACAATATTGCTTCACAGGCTTTTGGAGGGACATGTAAGGTCGCAGTTAATTAATATGTGGAATATTTACGGGGGATTTGCCTTGCTTGATGAGAGACATGTGAACGGGAGTGTCAGTCAGTGACTGACAGGAATGCGGTCTGCGATCTTGGACGAATCAAATGCCATGACCACGGCTTCGAATCCCGCATGGATATGTTTTACGATATCCTGTGTAGGTAGAAGCTTTGCTTAGGCTGATACCGCATCCGATAAATATACTACACAGTCGAAAAAGCCGGCAGGCAAATGCAAAGGAAGAAGAATGGTATAAAATTTTGTAAGTGAAGTTGAGGTAATGTTTGTAATTTCTGTGTTCGGTGAACGATGTTTTTTGAACTGGATAATTTAGGGTAATTATGAATAACGGGTCGCGGTCTGTTTGAGACACTACCATCGCATTTTCTACTCGGGACTGAGTAAACCCCCAAAGCCCATCAAAACAAGCTTGTGAACTGGGAATCGAATCTAGGATCTTCGAAGTAGGAGTACTGACACTGCGCCTCGAAACAGGAGACTCTGATGAACTTACTTACACATGCAAGTATAATGAATGTATGATTTGAGGTTTTTACAGCGGTGAGTATGAAGATTTCTGTCTTCTGGGTTGTTGATATATCGCCCTGATGACGGAGGCAGTATGACCTCTGAAACGTTGGTAAACATCGACCAGACTACACAGCGCAACAACCCAGAAGACAGAAATCTTCATACTCACCGCTGTAAAAACCTCAAATGAGAGTTAATGAACTTTTGGTCAATACCGTATGCTAAGTATAGAAGATTGTAAGTTTTTTTGAAAAAAAAACATGAACTTGTAACTGAAATATAGATTGAAACATCTCCTTCAGGGTATATTAAAAAAGGTTGTCCGAAGCTTTCATTTCGTAGTTTGCTGTAATGTAAAGAGGATGGCCCGCCGCCATTTTGTTGGTTAGTAGCAGTGCTGTAAATCATAAACGCAAGCTGTTACCACCGCCCAGGTTCGTGGATCAATGTTGCGAGGCTGTATGAGCAAAACGCCCGTGAAAACATCTTCGGCGTATATTCTGATTCGCGTTGGGTCGTTTGAGTCGCTTCACACTCGTCTTCATTGTTCGCGTAAATGTTGAAAAGTTGCGTGTCTCTGCAAAATGACAGGTGAAGTCAGTTTTTATTTGTTTATTACTAAAAGGATTATAAACCAACAGGCTTACGATTCTAAATTCAAAGTTAAGAAACTGCCTCTGTCCGCAACAGCACGATGTGAAGCCGTGCTTGGCCATTTCTAACTTGGCACTGAATGAAAACTAATTATCGACTAAAAGATGATTATTTTCTCGGATGTTGCGTCGTTTGATCTCGTAGAAATTGGTCAGCGTTTCGGAGGAGCTTGCAGGGCAAAATAACCAGATACGCTGCACTGCTGAATGTTGTGGAGTTCTTAAAGAAACGCCAGTTTCAAATATTTCAGATTCATTCTTGGATTTTATTATTTTATTTAGTGTTCTGTCTGAGGACAGGTCCATATGAACAGGATCCTTCCATCCTTTTCTCGGACTGGGACCTGTTCATATACGTTCTTGGCAGATGATCCAGAAGTGGTTTGCCATTGCCTTCTTCTGTGTGTGTGAGTGGAGTAATTGTTGGGATGCCACGGAGAAACCAGGGAAGCCCCCGGAGGAAAACTCCGTGAGGTAGCCAACGGCCTTGCCCAACACAAGTTATAAATCTGAGCACCACCGGGAATTGAATCCGCGGCCCCAGGATTACAAGGCCAGCGTTCTAATCGCTAGACCACCGTGGCTGTCATTCTTGGATATACTACATTTTCGAAACACTGTTATATTAATTAATACATCGCTAGTTACTCTGAAAGTTGTTATACTTCCGTTTCAAGGCTTCCTCTTTCCTTATATTGCTAATGCGAGATAATTAGTCATAAAAGTCGCCCCATTAAGTTAGCACCAACACCATTATGCATAGTGAATTTATCTAGGATCAAATGCACGAAGAGATAAGGATGTCAGTGGTACCAATTAGACGTATTTAAGGTTACACTAACACAACATAAATCTTTTTAAATAGCATAAACACGATGAATAGTGTCCTAATTAAGATAATTGTAGAACGATGAACTTTGGGTTGAAGAAAATGAGCCAACAGTAGAACGTTACTGGCCGTGGGCTGTACGACAGGGGTTCAATTCTCTGCGTGGACAGGGGTTTTCTTTCCGTCCAGCCTGTGTGTTACCCAGCCCACTATTTTAACGAAAGAAGTCCACGTTATATTCGGGAAGAATATGCCGTTTTTTAAGAACACGGACCAGCACAAATTCTAGATACGCTTCTGGGTAATTTTTTCTGATGACAAGGCATTTTGCATCTAGTGAAAGTAGAAATTTTGTTTTTCTTTTCGTGTCAATGATTCAGACGTTACTGGACGAAAAAATATGATGGACATGTAACCATGAGAAATCTCACTAGCAGGTGTAGCAATGTGGTTCCTCAGCCTATTCTATTAGCCCCTTGCTGTTGAATAATACATTTCTCGTATAAATGAGCATAAAACTGGAACACGCAGGGAGAAATGATGAGTGATGACATACGTAATATATACTAGATCATACAACGAAATGAGATTCGGAAATGTGTGTTAATGCTACAGGGATGACCAGGGTGGAATTATATAGGCTTGTTCGTACATCCCATTGACGGCGATGATGTGACCGGAAGTCGTGGTTGAGTAATGCCTCTCCTGCTTCGTACTGGGATGATCCTGGGTTAACATTTTTGCGCAGTCCGTCTAGACACATACCAGGAAACACCTTACACAGCTTTCCCAATTCATCGTACCATTCGAAGCTTCATAACTTAGACGGTTGTAGAATGTCGTTAACTAAATAACCGGTGTGGGAGTTGCGATAAAGTATTGCGGCCGAAATATCTGTTACTGTAACTTGACATATTATAGCATCATCAGCAACAGAGGCCCAGTGGTCTGTTCGCTTTCACATTCCTGTTTTCTCACGCGTCATAATTCGGAATTTTCTGTTGGACGTGATTGTCTTGAGGTGTGAAAATAAATCTCCAAGCATTCTGAACCTTGGCACTAAGTGAACCGAATGGTCAGCCTCACGCTGGCCCGCATTATATTATTGTGGGCATGAGCATATTCTTCATAAAATATAATTTTCCAAAACTGAATGAAATGACATTTATTTAATCATATTGAACTTTCTGATTCGTCATTGGGCCCAGGGCTGATCTGTATGGAATGTCCAAGAGAAAAATCCCTGCATGTACTGGAAATCGAACCATGTTGTTAATGTATACGTATTTTTTAGAAATAGTATGTTAATAGTCCCTTCTCAATCGGATATCGATTTGTGTAGGATTTCGGTGATTCCCGATTTAAACGTTGGGTGATAAACCGGTTATCGTGACATGTTTTAGATATTTTTCTCTTCTGTGAGATCACATTTAAATATGGCAACTGTTGCCCCTTCCCATGTACTTCCAAACCCACTGTTCATAATCATCCTCTGTTTCTTCAGTCGAAAGAAATGCCAGAATTTAGAATATTTAAATATTGAACTCATTGCTACTGTAATAACACATGCGGCTGTATTTGGCAGTTATTCTCTGTTCGGATTGGCAATATAATTAAATTTACTGAAAATTTAAAAATACAGCATAGACCAATACTGACTTTACATTGAATTTAATAACTTGAAATGGCTTTTTAATTCAGACGTAGTGGGCGATGTTTGTGTCCGCATTCTCATTAGTATTGTTCCATTATGCGCTTTGCCACCCCTGAATCTGCACAGCCCCAAACTTGAACAATGCCAAATGAAAGTCCGGCGGTTGTGAAGCAGAAAGAGAAGAGTCAAACCGGTTCCAATCCGATTTTCACGCGGTTACAACTTCTAATAGAAGCCGTGGAGGCGGAATTATTGCAATATACGGGGCCAATCCCAGCTGGAAAAACACGATAGTTTAGATTATGGAAAATAGTTTCCTTCAACTGTAAATAAGCTACACAACGTGTTTTATTACACATACGAATGGATGAGTGACAGGTGGGAGTCACCGATCACTTCGTTGTTTTATAGAATGCAGTTAATTTAATTCTAAGAAGAATATAGCTGTGGCATGACTTGATGGACTCCTACATCAGAATTAGGTAATGGCAGTTCCTACACACCTGATGGAATGGTTAAAATATCATGACTCAATCACCAACGAGAAGTATCACAGAAATAAAAGGTCAACATTGAAATAGAAGAGACAATAAAATGTTTATCCTTAACTTGCATTTCCTCCTCAATCTCTGGACAAACTAGTCACATGACTTTCATTTCAAGCGCGTAAAGAAGATTCAATAGAAGCACACCCAAGGGAGATGATGAGGGTTCAAGCAAGATTCAATATAAACCCATCTGAGAGAGTGGGATTTGAGGTTCTCATGGTGGTGAGTATGAATATATCTGACTTCTGACATGTTGCGCTGTGTAGTCTGGTAGACGTTTATCGATGTTTCAAAGGTGCTTGCTGCTTCCATCATCAGGACGATGAGTGAGCCGGGCGCCTACCCACCCTGATGATGGAGACAGCAAGCACCAGTGAACTTCTGTCAGACTACATGGCGCGACAACACAGACATCTCCATCTGAAAGAGATTATAGTGGATCAGGATGCGACAGAAACCTACCTGAGAAAGATTATCGAGATCAAGATTCAATAGAAATCAAGCTGGGAGACATTACAGAGGATGAATATTCAATAGGGAATTGTCTAGTGATTATGAGAGATCATAATTAATAGAAAAACTGGATATGTACCACTCTTACATGGGAGAATAGTAGTCTTATGAGATCAATACAGCAGATAGGGAGGGTGTCTGAGAGGAAGGAGGGGTGCACATGGGTGTGAGTATTCTTTCCCCTAGATATCAGGAGCACAGCTGGTATCATTTCTGCACATGGGAGATTAAAGAAACACATTTTTTGCATTAGGATGATTGACAGTATATGGTAGAGGTGTATAAGAATCAGTGAAGAATTGTAGTGTGCTATTTGTCAGTGTTACTTCGTACAGTATGTATATGTTAAATATTATTATGCTTGATTCCATATGTTTTGTTTGACACTGAAAACTTGGCTGCCTTCCAAGTTTGAAGATAGTGGCAGCATGGCAGAACTCTGCATTTTAAATTCAGTTATAATTTTCGTATAAATGTGTTATGTAATATATGTGTTTGACATATCTTGAGAAACAGGCTTCTGAAGTGAGATTTTAATGTCCGTAGAAGCTTTAAATATAGTGAGTGATAGATGAAATTACAGCTTGCTAATTCAGTCATATATGTATTTCACAATGTTGGATATTTTTAACTGGTGAGATTTATGTTACTGATGAAAAAATAAAGACTATCAAATGATTAAAATAACTAATCAATTAACTGTTTATTAATTGTGTCTTTTCAGTAATCAGAAACACAAAATTACCAAGTGTTGTAATTATTTTTATGAAGTTACAAAAGAATTTTAAAAAATCTGAAACTGTTTTATTCAAAAGTCTTGAGTATTAGTATCTTCTCTTGATAATCTTTACATAAAGAGGAGCTTCACCAACTAGTAGGTTGATAACATCAAAGATAATGAGATAGGCAGGGCATGTAGTATACATTGGGGAGATGAAAAATGCACAGTTTTAATCTGAAAACCTGCAAGAAAGAAACCACTTGAAAGACCTAAGTGTAGGTGGGAAATAATAATATTATAATGGATCTTGGAGAAATATAAGTTATGGACTGGATTCATTGGCTCAGGATAAGGTCTTGCTTCAGGTTGGATGAGATGAATTTCTTGACCGGCTGTATGACTGTCATCAGCTTATGATGAGAGAAGAGTTTGCTCCATCTAGTATGTTAGCTATTCATATAAAGTGGGCACATTGTTATTTGGTTGCTCAAACACTGAGGGAGTGGATATAATTCAAGTTGGGATGTGAATATACATTTGCATTTTAATATTATTGTTGTCCTAAGTATTAATAGTTAGAGGTCTTGTAACAGGTTGTGCCTGCTTAAATGGACCAAGGAATACCATGAATGCCATAAAATATCTCAAGATGCTCCCCCTCACACTGGAAAATTGAATCAGGGACTTTTTGAAGCAGGAGTGCTAATCACCAGACTGTGATGTTTTACAATGGCAAATCCTGGTCTACAAGTCAGGTCATGCAAAAATGCAATATTATTACCCCCCCCCCCCCCAACAACAACAACTGCATCATGATGCTAAGGTATTTTAATACTAACAATTCAGCAACTTCATCATTATTATGCCACTGTTGTGTTATAATTATAGTGAAACAATTATTTTATATTCCTCCAATTTGGGTGGTCTGGTGGTGCACTACTAGCCAGACCTGAGCATTCACCACTGATGTTTAGTTGAATTTTTTAATAAACTGCTTATTGTATTAAAACTATCATAATCTGCCACAAATTACCATTACAGTCACCATGCCCTAAGACTCAGATAAACAATAAATTATCACTATCATCAGCTTCACAGTCTGCTCTAATGTCAGTCATTCATCCTTGACTGATATCTCCTTCTGTTTGGCAACAGATCTCAGCTTCTTCCATCTTGTAATCAAGTTTGTTGATAAGCTTCCAGTGTTTTAAGGATGTGTGTATGGAAACATCACCAGTCTTATCTTGCAGTACATTGGTAGTCTTGGTAGTGTATACTCACAAGCTCCTAGACGGAATGGAGGATTCCAACAAGCAGGGGCTGCATCATAACAAGATCAGTTCATATACCCCATTGGACATTATGCAAGGTTGTCGGTGTGTCTGAGAAATGGGAAAAGCTGAATCAGGATTTAAGTGTGTTAAGATAACCAGTATATGTCAGTGCTATCATTGACTCACTCACTAATTAACTAGCTAACTTTATTGTACAGGATCTTGCTTCAGCAGATGGTAATTATTTGGGTGATCAGGAAATTTTATGCTTTCATGGAACAAACAAGCCTGTCACTGTGTTCATACGAGTCCATCATTTCACTCTATCTTGAGGAATTTCAATTAATTTATCTAAAATACATTTTAATATTATCTTTCCACTATACCTAGATCTCCTAAATGTGAATGTTGTGTAAGAATGAACAGAAGCATATTACTGTCATCACTTCTTTATTTCCATTTATATATGCTCTAAAGAATGTGCCTGTTGCCACAAGTAATTTTTCATCATCCATTTTAATACTTTTCTACCATCCATGCCTAACCCTTTCAAATGTGATTGTTTTATAGGACTAAACAGAGGATTATTCTCGTCAATTCCCCTTTTCTAGATGTTGTAAAGCATGAGTCTATGTTGCAGGCAGCATGGAGATCCCACCACAGCATCTTGAAGGCTTCACTACAGTATTTGGCATGGCCCAAGCTGTTGGTGCACTGACGGTTATCTTGGTGGCTGTTTGGGCTGGACATTACCGTGGAGGCTTCACATGGCGCTCTAATCCGGACCATGAGTTCAATTGGCACCCTGTCCTTATGACATTTGGAATGATATATCTCTATGCAAATTGTAAGCAATAAATATGTTTAAAATTTGCCTGCTTTCATGTGGATATAGTATAAAATAGCCTCATTTTCTTAACTTTGTGTTGTCTTGTGACAATGGCTGATTCAACAAACTGCAGTTATTTCAACATTGTTCTTTGTCTTGGATACATTTAGCATATATGAAATTTCAGGTTCTGTCTCTACTCTCATCTTTATATGACTTATTATTCTTCTAGATATCCGCCCACCCATTGTACCATCACATATTGACTCCATCTCCCAGATTAGTGAAAAAGATTAGGATTAAACCTAGGACCCAATGAATGCTAAATTTGTAACCACTAGACTTCAGGGGTAGGATGGTCAAGTCCTAGTGGTAAGCACAAAATTTAGCATTCAGCGTGTCCTTGGTCTGATTCCAACCTTTGCCATTGAGGCTGGGTAAGGAATATAAATGTCGGAATTATAGAGGCTCATATAAAAACTATTAGCATTTCAAGGAAGGTTCTGCATGCTACACTTGCTGTATAATGAGGTCAGAAGAATATCTGTCAATAACAGCCTCAAGACAGAAGTATAGCAATGTCCCAAAACATTATTTGTGTTAAAAGTACTTCATACAATGGACAGTACAAAATATAATTACAGTATAACAAAATGTACTTCAGTTATATTACATGTTTTCACTTATACACACTTACTCTAGGCATATTTATTAAAGTGATGTTAAAACTTTACCATCTGACCTTATACATATATAAAATAATAAAAGTTGTGTCATAGTGTTGAATAAGCATGAACTACTCAGACAGTGCTACAAGAAATTTACAATACAGGTGGAAGATTAGTTTCATCTCACTCTTATTATTATTTTGTACTTTCTTTCAGATTGTATTATGACATGAATAATTTCATATTTACATAATTTTTGTGGAAGGTTTTATCTCATTATCATGTTACAATGCATAATTTTTTGATATGAAAATCTACAATTTATAGACACAATAGTAATTTTTATGTGTGAAGATATATTGCAGACATTATGCCACCTACATATTTAATACCAAATTTCAATTTGCTTTATTAATAAAATAAAGGAACGTAGGCTTTAATTAATGTTTTATATTTTGCTTGCAGCTATTATGATTTATCGAGCATTTCGAAACAACCAAAAGCGCCGACTGAAGTTGGCACATATGCTGATACACTTTACTACCTTCATACTTGTTATTATTGGTCTTGTAGCAGTATTTGACTCTCATAACCTCAAGAATCCACCTATGCCAAACCTTTATACATTACACAGTTGGATTGGACTTTCAGCTGTTATCCTGTTTGCTTGTCAGGTAAGATTTTTTCTGTGGTTCTAAATGTCCATAGAAAATTTCAGTGATCATATACATATCTAATAATATGCAAGTATAAATGCCAGGATAGTTAATTCAGTAAAGTTTCTGGCTGCAGGCTAGATGACCAGGATTTGATTCTTCATAATGGCAGGTATTTTCCTTCTTGATACAGAGACTGTACAGCATCATATAAGTTTGGAAAATGATCATCATGAACAGTGTAAGAAAGCAAAGATTGGGGAGTATGTGCTTATAGCCAATATCATCATCTCATTCATGATTCAGAGCATGTTCCAAAAATGGGGTTTCCTTTTTTAGGGTCTCTTTCTTTTTCCTTCCTTTCTTTCTAAAAAATTTCTGGACCATCCCACACCAGTTTATCAAGAAGTAAAAGGCCAGTCTGTACAGAGTAGTCTAAATGAAACAAGGTTCACTTAAAATTTCTAGTTCTTTCAGTCTTTCAAAGTCTTTAAAAAATCATAATAAAATATTTAGCACTCAGAGTATTACACATACACATTTTTAAATATTATACACATATCATTGAAGGAAGAATGTTTATTGACAGATTTGAATCCAGTTACTGCATGTAAAGTAAAACTTTAAATACGCGAGTTCAGTTACAGACTGCAAACTCTGTCTTTATATAAATGTAATAATCATACTTTGGCTCCATACATTATGTTATGTTTTTATGGCTTCACAGTGGGTTTCTGGGTTCATCACGTTCTTCTTCCCTGGCCTTCAGTCACCTCTGCGAGCAGCTTACATGCCTGTACATGTGTTCTTTGGCCTTGCAGGCTTCATTGCAGCTGTGATTGCTGCTCTTCTAGGCCTGACAGAGAAGGCTTTATGGGTTTTACAAGAGTGAGTACATTACTATGTCTAGTGGGTGTGTCTGAGAATACAGATGTTTTATTTTGTTTTGTACCTGTTCTTTCATTTTAAATCCAGTTGTATTTAAAATGTGTCATTATTTGGTTCTCAGGAAGAACTCTTTTCTAGGGAGCCGATTTGTTAGTTGGTCTTTTATGGAGAAAATGTGCCTTTATTTGCAATGCAAGTATGTCCCCATAGCTCATTTGATATTTTATAATTAGTGGAAAATAAAAATTCCATAGCTTGTTCAGTGAGGTTATGTCACATTCTAAGGTTCTTATTCATGGAATATTAATTAGGAAGCCCCTATTTTAAAAACATTTTAAAATGTGATGAATGTCTGAAATTTTATTCTTTACTTGTCCACAGTGAGTACAGTAAACTACATTCTGAGGGAATCCTGATAAACTGCATTGGAGTGCTGCTGGTTGCATTTGCTGGTCTTGTGATGTACCTCGTGACTGAACCTAGGTTCAAGAGGCAACCTCTACCTGAGGACGAGATGCTATTAACATCTGGTCTAGAATAACATCATTCTCAGATAAACCCAGATATGACAAAGCTATGTGTCTATAAAAGAAATCATAATTCTGTTATATGTATTTATGGTGATGCGTGTAAGTATAATGAATACCATAGTTAACATCTGTTTTGCACAGTCAGAATGAAGAACAATTTCAAGTACAGGTATGAACAGTATACTGTGGATTATCCAGACTGATTGAGGGGAGAGGGAACACAAATGATAAAGGAAATGCTAATAATACAAAATGATCTTGTTTTCTTAATATAAATTCAATAGTAACACAGTTTACTGTCATAACAGGGAGAACATTGAGTCCATACCCCCCACACTGATTTTCCAAATCCCCTAACAACTGGTTGTAGATTGTGAGGGTGCAATAGAACATACTGGATGATACATATGATGGAAAGTGAGAGAGTAATGAAAACTTTCTTGTCAGTGTTTATGTGTAAAGCTTTGTGCATTTTTATAAATTTACATTAATTTCAGCATATAATGTAAATTACATTAAAACAATTCACAAGATAAGCCACACATTGAATAATCTGCATACATATAGTTATACAGTATACAGTGTATAGTATACCTCTCCTCCATGTTCACACTGTATGTCAGATTGTGGTGGCAAGTATTAGTTGTCAACTGGACTTACTTCCATTCAGGCACATAAGAACACTACAAGATTAGGAAGATGCAAATGTGTGGCATTCTAAATATTCTTTAGACTAAAATAAATTATACCAAAATTTCTAAAAAATGTCACTTTGAATGAAAAGTGTTTACATTACATAATATATTTGTCTCATTTCTCTGTGGTGATGTGGGGGGAATAAGATAACAGTAAAAGTTAAATTATATATCAGTATGCCTACATAACACTTTAATATTTTGTAAAAAGGGGGTTCTTACTAGTTTATCAGGAGTTTGTTTTTCTGAGATTTTTAATTAATAGTCAAAATCATTTGTCCATACTCTTGACAGATATTTTACTAGGAAGAGAACCTCATTAATTAAACACTGAGTTAATACTTCTATGTTGTATATAATCACATGACATTTTAGGAATTTCTAAATCATATTTCAATCCTAGTGGCAATGATATTTTTTTGTACTTTTACTTTGATTGAAATGAACAAATAAAATAAAGTTACTTGTGGTTTCCCTCTAAATATGTTCCAATCAGTATACTAAGACAGTAGTACCATTTGCTAATTACTGTGACCAAATGCATTGTTGAATGGCATGTACAGAGAAGGCTTTTCATGTAGGAAAACAGTGTCTTCTGCTAATGGCAACTGAACTAGCAATGATCTGTGTAAGCTCACATTTTATCTCCTAGTTGCAGCAGAATACAGTAATGTTTTCTTAACATAACGCTGAAAACTGACTGCAGAATTCAGAACTGTTTCAAGTAATTCTGATATCAGGAATAAGTTCACACAGTATTAAATTGTCTAACTGTATGCAGAGAAACTTCTTAAATTATATTATATTGATAAAGGTAAGGGTGCTGTTTCTTTTTAGGTTAACATGTACAAAAGTCAGCATATTTAATTAATTAAGCTACATTTATATTACAGAGTAATATGTAATGCTGTGCCTCATATAAGGCTACAGATTGAATTATTACATTTGTGATGATTGTGAAAATTATGAACTGTTTTGTTTTTTGAGGACTAAAACTTGATCCAAATGTGTCACATATGCACACATAAATTTCTATCCTCAGGATCATATATGTGTGATGACAGACTAGTATATTCTTCTCACTCTCTCAAAGGGGTGAATATAGCTATGATGAAAACATAGTACCCAATATGGGGTCATGTGTGATAGATCAGGCAACACTGACAAAAGGGAATATTTGCACACAAAGGTTAAATGACTGAGAAATGTACACTTCATATAACGCTTATGTATTGTATTTTAATGTATTTCTGTTTCCCTCTTTTGTTGTAGCACTTCTAAAAAATATTAATAAATCCCTGTTTCTTGTCCATTAATTTTTTTTGAAAATAATTGTGTAACAGGCCTAATTTGTATACCATAGCCATGTAGTTCTTAAAACAATAGTCTATTTTTTAAGATTAAAATAAAGGAGTTGACTTATATCTCACACAGCAATTATAATAATTAGATATTTGTAATATTCTGTTCAAATGTTTATGGCATTTCATACTGACAAGAAACTTCCAATGACCACATATATAAATTATATTTTTATACTGAGAGTTCAGTTTCATGACTTCTCCATTAATCCCCAATTCTTATAATATATGTTGTTGGAAATTTGCTCCCTAATAAGCATTATTAAAAGTTGACTGTGAAACAAATCATTGGTTTGTGATTTGCTGCTGATACTTCCACACCAGAATGACCATTTAATTTTAAAAGATCCTTACAATTATTTCTGTCTTTCCACAGAAGCATAGGTAGCAATATTACGTGTTTCAATTTCACACAATTTGAAGCTCATATTTAAGGCTTATTTGCATCCTACACTCAAAATTTATATTTTAACATAAGTCTGAAGGTTTCCATTTGTTAAAAACTTAAACAGGTCTACCACATCTGAGTACTGGCATGCTTTGTTCTACAAATGCACACACACACAGAAAACCTTGGTTAATTGTATTTTTGTCATTAAGACATGTGCTCATAGACTGGGGATGTGCAAATTTGTTCTTATTTTAAAAGGAAAGTTACCTGTTAAGATAATTATTTACAGAATTGCACACAAGATTGTAAGCTTTTCAGCTAAGCATGTTTACATTGTACTTAATGTTATGAAATCTATAATAGATGATCTTGAGAAAATAGTAAAAGTAGCTCAGAAATGTTACAGGCTGTCCAATAATATTCCTTATGTTTGTACATTATAAGTCTTTAATTTTCTTTAATTGGTGTTTTCATGACTTGATAATTTAGTATTTGTATTGTTGGATAATATACATACTCTGAAGCATCATGAATTCTGAGCTTATTCTATATGTATATATACCCCTCTCTGTTCGTGCAGGAACAGCTATTGATAGTTTAAATTTTTTTTTGGTAAGTCGCTTATAAGATTCTGTATGTTAAAGTCACAGAATCTCCTATGTCACTGCATTATAATCCCTGACCAAGGTTTTTCTTGGTTTTATTCAGTCCATCATGGTAAATGCTGGTATACTTCCTTTGCCCTGTCCTTGTTAAGTGTGCATTTAAAAAATTTGGATCTATTGAAATTATGTTTTAAGCACTAAATTTCACTCAGTTAATTCTGCTGATTTCATGTAATAATTGTGGGTCTGATGTGCTATAAGCTGCTGTTGAAATTTTGTTTTACTGTAAAAACTGTATCATAAAATATACAATAAAATAGACATATTCTCTCTTCCATTAGACTTCGCTAAATAAGACAAACCAACCTTACGGGAAATACAAAGACCAATTTTGTGAGACAGGTGGTGGAACAAGTTTTCAGTATTGCTGTTGGAAAACAGGAGGAACCATTTTACTATTTTAATACCATATGGACTGAAAACAGTAACTGAATACACTCCATCGAGCATGCACAGTAGGACAATTATTCCTTTACATCATTAAATGAGAAAAGCTGAACTCCATTACTTTGATTGTCTTTAGTTACAGTATCACCATTCACATGACATAATAATTAAATCTTGTATGAATATTAAGTATGAACTGCATCACATTAAATTATCAAAACTGATTAATAATTACATTTCAGCTACAAATTTATTGTTACAAAGCTATTCACATTACTGAGCCAGAAACTGCTTTCATTATTTCAGTCAATATTCACTATATTAACAAATTATTTCAAATAAAAGTTGTAGATCTCAATGAAATGTATTTATTGTGTTATTTACAACTTTTTCATCTGTTTCTGAGAAAATTTATAAAGCATGAATCCCCGTAATTTTGTGGCTATATATGACTGGTATGAGCCAAAATTACATTTGCTTGACAACTTTCAGTGTAGACATGTAATGCCTCATTTCATCAAAATCTGATAAGTGATTATGGAGATTAAATATATAGACAGGTAGAAAAGAGACATCCTCATTATGCATTCTATGAACTTTGTGTTAAGAATACTTAATAATCAGAAAATACACGAAGAACTTATTTAATAAAACACAAACAAAGTATGTTTTAAAATATTCACTGCAATACAATGAATATTTTTCAACAATTCACAAGTATTAACAGACATTAATGCAACTTCTAAAACATTGCTTTAATTCCTTTTTATTAAGCATCGGCTGCAAACATGTACAGTACTTGGAACACTGTTCTGTGGCAAGTACTGTATTATTTCAAAGTGAAATATAATTTGTCCATAAAAAAGAACAGCAGTTTATGCTGTAACACAAAGTACCTACTCTTTGACATATTCTTATATATTCATATAACAAGTTTAATAACTTTCATGGAATACAATTCAGAATGAAACAAATGCTATACGAAAGGAAACAAAATTTCCCTCTGTTTCACAGCAATGTTCTTCCCAGTCTGGTATTTACTCCTTTTGTACCAATCACTTATACAGAATTTATACTTTGGCCACACAGATACAGTTATAGCATTTACTTCTCTCTTGTGGAACATGTTCCACTGGCAGTGATTGAAGGTAAACTAATAAATATGTATACTGTTATATATTCAAACCTACTAACAGCTCAATTTCTGTTGTTCATATATTTGTTTTACACACAGAATTGTTAAGATTACAGAAATGGCTGTTTGTACAGTTCAGAGGATGGGTGGTGACATAGCTGAAAGTTTAAAGACAAATTAACTTCTACTATTAGTATATGCAGTGAATGGAAACTTTAATCAAAAGCCATTCAGTTGAGTACCACATTTTTTCAAGTTCAAGTTGTTATGTCCATCTAAATTGGATTTAGCACACTTACAAAAATAAAAGTGAAAAGTAATTGCACTGTTTTTGTCCAGGATCTGATCTGTCAGGTAATGAATCAATAAGGAAGTTATATAGGAGATTGTGGTGATGATTAACATAGTTTAATTAATTCTGCTGGATGCCAAGTCTTAGGTATAGCAAGAAGTGGATAATTTAATATTGAAAACCTGCTACTTCATTGTTTTCTTTGTAGTATCAGTCTCAAATATATTTATCTCATTAAACCAAAACAATTTAAGTATGGAAATTACAGGCACTATAAAGAATGTGTAACATCTTCACATTCTACTTTCCTCTAGGTTGGTGCAATGTCAAGGTAAGGTTGTTAAGCATTCTGTCAGCACTGCTGAGTGGTGTATATCTAGGTATTGCAGTAGGTGATGGTGTTTCTAGGTCATATCTATTTAAAGGTGAGAATCTAGTTGGTTCAGGAGTGATTGGTGTTCCTGGAGTTGATGGAGTATTGGGCTGTGATGAATACTGTGTGTTTGTTCTATACTGGGCAGAGTAGTTAAATGTGTTTCGTGGAGTTATTGGTGAAAACATCGGTAAATTAGTATTTCCTAATGAAGACGAGCAACTACTTGGCGAAGTCACTTTACGTAATGTCAAACGCCTTGGAGTTATCCAAGGAGACATCTGTGATGCAGAAATTTTAGAGCCTTGAGAAAATGTAATCCTGTCTGCAGGTATCTCTGAGTTCATATTAGTGAGTGTGGGGGCAGTAGCTGACTTCATCTGACTTGGAATCACATTAGGTTCACTTGACTTTGAGCATTGTACTTGAGAGTTTATGTTGCTGCTGCTATTACTGTGAGTAAATGATGCCATTCCTCTTTGTAGTTTCTGCTTCAGAAACATATTTTGTTGTTTCAAATCTTTATAATCTTTTTCTTGTTTTTTAATAATTCCATTCAATCTCATTATTTCCTGCTTGGCAGCTTTGTACTTCAGGACAACATTGTTAAAATATGCAGTAATTCTGCTACGGTGGCCGTCCTGAAAAGTCATAATTTGTAGTGCACGTTTCAGTATGTCCTCGGGAGTTTTGAAATATTCCTGGATATCAGCACTAAGTTCAGAAGTTAATGGTATCATATTAAATGTGTTTCCACAAATTGCACATTTCTTTGTATCATCAGGTTTAACACAATTCTCACAGTACACATGCCCACAGCTAGTTAACGAAAATTTTTTTCCTTTCGACTGCGTTGGTAATAAATAACACGAATTGCAGTGTATCCAATCCATTTTAATATGGCAGCACACAATTCTAATATCGAACTTACCTCGCAAACCCACGTGACAATCGGGCTTTATTTAACCCTAGATGGCAGTGTACGTCATAGATTATTACCAACATTGATGTAAATATTGTGTGATTTATTGACTGAAATATTGGTTTGGAAACTGAAATTATTTAGTAGAAGACAATGATCAACTGTGCTGTTATTGTTCCTTTGTTATTCTTTTATGTATATTTGCACGTTTGATAATAATATTTTACAAGGGTGGTATTTTCGAAACTCTTAAAGAACAAGTGTTATTGCATTAAATGTACAGATATGGAAATTATGAATAGTGTATAAAGGATATGGATCTAGGGCAGTAAATATGACGTCAGACAGTAATGTCAAACAGTAATTCCAAGTATTGTAAATTTAAATCTTCTTTTTATTTTGGAATATTGTAAAAAATGTTCAGCGATCGCCAGTTGCCTCATGCAAGATACGAATTGCTCATTGAAAATAAACGGCAAGTAAAATCACATTGTAATAGAGCAATATAATTGAAATGACAGGTCATCGAAAACATTAATATATTTGTCTTTTTATGTGATTTTATTCTAGAACCGGATTAAACTACAATCGAGCCATCAAAGCAGGAGGCATAATTGCAGCAGTTGTCATAATCACATGTTTAACTGCTTATATTTCTTGGAAAAGTCTGAAGTCATTTCATGACAGAGAATTTGTGAAGAAGCTTTGGGAATTAAATTTAAATAATAGTGACTCAGGTAATCAGTCTGAGAATAACAGGAATATTAAACGTTTTTATAGAGAATATATGCACAAAATTAGGACACTTTGTACTGTACTACAAAATATTCCAGGGTCAACAAAACACATTGAACTTCCTCTTGTTCAATCCCAGCCTTATAGTGCATTAGATATAATTCTTCTCCTCACTACAAATTATGACAAGGCATGTCCTAGTCTCAGAATAGAATATTATATACAAAGAAAAGTAAATGAAGAAATATAAATAAAAGCAAATAATCCACCTAGGAAAACACTAATATAAATATAAAATGCTAGAGAAATACAAAAAACAAATAACCAAGCTAGATCATCTATCAAGACAACCTATCTAGATCATTTCCCTTATTGAGAACATGCCCTCAAAGGAGACAATGTTTATGCTAAATATGTCCAAAGATTTACATATGTCATTTGCAGCAATGACGCACCTGGCTGGAGGACTATGTCTTGGCGTACTGCTCACACTAAAAGTAGAAAATTATCTTATTTGCCTTGCTGGCACACGTATACCAATAGTGTACATAATGGAATGGTAATTTATTTTGCCTTTAAAGACATTAACAAGAAATAATGTATCGAGATATCGTTCAGGAGTGATTGGTGTTCCTGGAGTTGATGGAGTATTGGGCTGTGATGAATACTGTGTGTTTGTTCTATACTGGGCAGAGTAGTTAAATGTGTTTCGTGGAGTTATTGGTGAAAACATCGGTAAATTAGTATTTCCTAATGAAGACGAGCAACTACTTGGCGAAGTCACTTTACGTAATGTCAAACGCCTTGGAGTTATCCAAGGAGACATCTGTGATGCAGAAATTTTAGAGCCTTGAGAAAATGTAATCCTGTCTGCAGGTATCTCTGAGTTCATATTAGTGAGTGTGGGGGCAGTAGCTGACTTCATCTGACTTGGAATCACATTAGGTTCACTTGACTTTGAGCATTGTACTTGAGAGTTTATGTTGCTGCTGCTATTACTGTGAGTAAATGATGCCATTCCTCTTTGTAGTTTCTGCTTCAGAAACATATTTTGTTGTTTCAAATCTTTATAATCTTTTTCTTGTTTTTTAATAATTCCATTCAATCTCATTATTTCCTGCTTGGCAGCTTTGTACTTCAGGACAACATTGTTAAAATATGCAGTAATTCTGCTACGGTGGCCGTCCTGAAAAGTCATAATTTGTAGTGCACGTTTCAGTATGTCCTCGGGAGTTTTGAAATATTCCTGGATATCAGCACTAAGTTCAGAAGTTAATGGTATCATATTAAATGTGTTTCCACAAATTGCACATTTCTTTGTATCATCAGGTTTAACACAATTCTCACAGTACACATGCCCACAGCTAGTTAACGAAAATTTTTTTCCTTTCGACTGCGTTGGTAATAAATAACACGAATTGCAGTGTATCCAATCCATTTTAATATGGCAGCACACAATTCTAATATCGAACTTACCTCGCAAACCCACGTGACAATCGGGCTTTATTTAACCCTAGATGGCAGTGTACGTCATAGATTATTACCAACATTGATGTAAATATTGTGTGATTTATTGACTGAAATATTGGTTTGGAAACTGAAATTATTTAGTAGAAGACAATGATCAACTGTGCTGTTATTGTTCCTTTGTTATTCTTTTATGTATATTTGCACGTTTGATAATAATATTTTACAAGGGTGGTATTTTCGAAACTCTTAAAGAACAAGTGTTATTGCATTAAATGTACAGATATGGAAATTATGAATAGTGTATAAAGGATATGGATCTAGGGCAGTAAATATGACGTCAGACAGTAATGTCAAACAGTAATTCCAAGTATTGTAAATTTAAATCTTCTTTTTATTTTGGAATATTGTAAAAAATGTTCAGCGATCGCCAGTTGCCTCATGCAAGATACGAATTGCTCATTGAAAATAAACGGCAAGTAAAATCACATTGTAATAGAGCAATATAATTGAAATGACAGGTCATCGAAAACATTAATATATTTGTCTTTTTATGTGATTTTATTCTAGAACCGGATTAAACTACAATCGAGCCATCAAAGCAGGAGGCATAATTGCAGCAGTTGTCATAATCACATGTTTAACTGCTTATATTTCTTGGAAAAGTCTGAAGTCATTTCATGACAGAGAATTTGTGAAGAAGCTTTGGGAATTAAATTTAAATAATAGTGACTCAGGTAATCAGTCTGAGAATAACAGGAATATTAAACGTTTTTATAGAGAATATATGCACAAAATTAGGACACTTTGTACTGTACTACAAAATATTCCAGGGTCAACAAAACACATTGAACTTCCTCTTGTTCAATCCCAGCCTTATAGTGCATTAGATATAATTCTTCTCCTCACTACAAATTATGACAAGGCATGTCCTAGTCTCAGAATAGAATATTATATACAAAGAAAAGTAAATGAAGAAATATAAATAAAAGCAAATAATCCACCTAGGAAAACACTAATATAAATATAAAATGCTAGAGAAATACAAAAAACAAATAACCAAGCTAGATCATCTATCAAGACAACCTATCTAGATCATTTCCCTTATTGAGAACATGCCCTCAAAGGAGACAATGTTTATGCTAAATATGTCCAAAGATTTACATATGTCATTTGCAGCAATGACGCACCTGGCTGGAGGACTATGTCTTGGCGTACTGCTCACACTAAAAGTAGAAAATTATCTTATTTGCCTTGCTGGCACACGTATACCAATAGTGTACATAATGGAATGGTAATTTATTTTGCCTTTAAAGACATTAACAAGAAATAATGTATCGAGATATCGTTGTCTGGAATAGAGTGTTCTAAGATTTAAAGTAGATAAAATCAATTCAGATTTATTACCTAAGTATTAAGTTTGCAGTACTTCATATACCAACACCATAGAGTACTTTGTAATAATGATAATGTTCAGTCATTATGATGAAGTATTTTGTGATTATAAGGTTTTGTTTCTTTACCATGTGCTAAATTGTGAAGAAATTACTGTCTTATATTCCAATAAATATGTTACATTATCGCATGTTTGCTTTATCATGTTAGAGTGAATATTGTAAGGTATAATTCAAAATTTTAATGTTATAGTTGAATGGCTGAAGCAAAGAGCTGAACTATATGGGCTTGCTGTGAAGCAGTACTTGGATTCCAATCAGTCTCACACATTTACAGCAGTTCCACCAGTTATAACCAACAAATCACCATCAAGTAATATAAAAGCAAAAACATTCAGACTTGTTTGCTATTATTCACTTCCAAACAGTGGAATTGGGGGTGATCTGATGCCAGAGGAGATCAACCCATCATTGTGTACTCATATCAATATAGCATTTGCTCAGATAACAAATGGCTCTTTGCAACCTGTTAATTCTACGATTTTGGGATTGTACAATCGTGTTGTTGCCCTCAAGTCTGGTAACCCGTCTCTCAAAGTTTTACTGAGCATAGCAGGAAATTCAGAGCCAGGAAGTTTCTCCACCTTGACTGCAACTCATGCCAACAGAAAGCAGTGAGTCTTTAATTTTTTTTCTGGCTGGTAATTAGCAGTGCTTTTTTTCCTGCAGGGAAATATGCTGGTACTCAGATGTGAGCGGCTCAGTTCGTCCTTTATTTTACATCTGCCATACACTCATTTCTATTAACAAATTTTTAATTTTTTAACTTTTTTATATGAATGTGGTTCCAGTTTGACATTCTATTACATATTGTTATAAAAAGCACTGGTAATTACTATAATCAAGGGAGAAGAATAAGTGAGAGAACATTTGCTTGTTTATGCATAAATGCAAGTCTGAAAGAAGATAGTCTAGTTGGCAGTTTGTAAAAAAAATATATGAAGAATCTTGAATTAATAGTAACAGAAGTGGCATTTGAAATGCTGATACAGTGTAGCCACATTGCAACATTCTCACTTTCTATCACATATACAGTATTTATTTTTCATGGTTGTTATTAAATTTAAACAATATTATTATCTTCCGTAACAGTGTATGTTTGCTTACTGTTCCAGTCAAAATCTATAGTGGTTACACTGTTCAGTGGAAACATTTACATAATCCAGAATGCGGGAAACTGCTTCTTGCACCGTGACATGTTCAAAAGTTTGAATTTAGTTTATTTCCTGATAGTTGCTACAGAAAATTGATGAATTAGGCATCATAAGAGAGAAATTATTGTACTTATTTTAGGAGTATTGACTAAGTTATATTTTTCAGATTCATCAAGGACGTACTTGCTGTCTTGGTTCAGTGCAAATTAGATGGCTTAGACTTTGACTGGGAGTTTCCTGCATGGCAGAGTGACAAAAAGGAGCGTGTCCACTTCACACAGCTGCTTATGGAACTGAGAGATGAGTTGAACAGGAGACATTCTAATCTACTTGTTAGTGTGGCAGTGGCTTCCCCCAAGCCTATAATAGATGACTCTTATGATGTTCCTCAGATGGTAGAGTAAGTTACTGCTATTACAAATAGTAGCACTGACACCAAACATCATTGTTCACTGCAATAAAGTGTAATCATTCCAAATAAATGCTAAGAAAGTTCATTAAAAGAAACGACAATGCTTCTTTTCCTGTTTTTTTTTTTAGTTTTTCCTTATGATCCATGCAGTTAATTAAGAGTCTCTGACCATTTTTATGCTCTACATGAAGGCCTAGGTGAACTTTATATTTATCTTACGAAATGATCACATCTCGGCTTTCCTAAATAACATTTTTTCAGGTGTTCCACGGTGCCTATTATTCCTCCAAAGAAATCACGTTTGATTCCATCTGCATCCTTTTCAATTTTTCGTTCACAATAATCCTGCTGTTCAGAGTTGGGTTTAAAAAGCATTGTTAAATAGACTGAAAAATAAACAAACTTAGTAAACATTCAAAAGATTAAATAAATTGTGTAGAATATAAGTAAAAACACCATTTGGATTTTTCTGAAATGCCAGAAAATATATATGTATTGTAGTACATTGTAAAGTGGTTTAGTTTATGTTCTACTTTGTGATTTTCAGATATGTGGATTATGTAAATGTCATGACATATGATTACCATTTCTATGTATGGTATCTTCCGATGACTGGTTTTAATGCCCCATTATACAAGCACTCTGATGATATTGGATATTTTGCAACATTAAATACAAATTGGACTGTTTCATACTGGGAAAGCAAGGGTATGCCCAAAGAGAAAATAGTAGTGGGGCTGCCAACATATGGACACTCCTTTACGTAAGTTCACAATGTATGGATAAAGTATACATGTATATATACTGAGGAACTAACAAATAGCATTAAAATAATAATGAAAATGTACCAATTAAAGTTGAAATCATCAGTTAAACAATGGATAGCAAAAACAAAAATTGTTGATGTAAAAGTAATGTTTGACCTTTGATATGTTGTTTAAATTGTAAGATGGTTTTATTATCAATAATAAAGGATAGTAATTTAAAATACAAAAGAGGTTCTGCTGTCCTACAATAAAGTATCCGTAACATTTCTGTTGAAATCTGTAACATCCATGTAAAATGCTGAGAAAATGCTAACGGTAATGTGAGAACTTCAGCAGAAGAGCATTTCTCATTACAGGAAGTGTTGTAAGTTGGCATCCATGTAGGTCACTCTTGCCTTGTAAACATAGCAGTGAACCTACCTTTAAGGGGGACATACAATTTGTAGATGTACTCACGGATTTCCTAGAACTCTGTAGCGTGAAACTACATGCCAGGTTTCATGTTGGTTACTGAGATTGTTCATTTTGTTTCTAAATTGTGATTTGTTATTTTAATACTGAATTAATTTCAATTTTTTTAGGCTTGTTAACGATGCCAACCATGGTGTTTCAGCACCAGCTTCAGGCTTTGGTCTGCTGGGAAGTAAAGGCTTTGTTAGTTATCCTCAGACTTGCCAGTTTGTAGCTGCAGAAGCCGCTACTGTATTTGATCGAGACAGTCGAGCGCCATATGCTTACAAAAATACACAGTGGATTTCATATGATGATGAAAGAAGTCTGGCTTATAAGGTGTGTACTAATTCTTGAAGTGTTTGTCTTCATGAATGAGGTGTTCTGCAGTAGATTGTAGTGGTGATATGAAAAAAAATATTTTTTTGTAATTATAATGGTGGAAATCTGCATTTACTTAATTTATGCTGATTAACTCTGAAAATTGAAATTGAGTAATTAGTCTCCTGCTTCATATTCAGGAAGACCCAGATTTTAATTTTAGCTCAGAAATCAGCTGTCTTGACTGAGGTTTTCATGGTTTACCTCTGTAAGTATTTCTTAGGTTTAAGGAATTTATCTTTGTCATTGAGACCAGAACTGTAAGTGTAAATTTGCATTACAATGTCTATACATATTTTAGAAATAACAAAAACAGGCAATTTGTATGTGTTCTTTCAGTTTAGTTAATATATAGTATTTGCTGAACGTGAATTATAAGAGGCTTGGAGTCAGGATGTGGTGTAGTGGTGGGGTTTTATGAACATAGAATTGAACTTCTGGGTTCTGTAAATGCAAGATATTTATAGACCAGCCATGTAACTTTACACTTTGCAAGAAAATTCCTGCAAGATGGAGGTAATACAGTTTGTATAACAAATCTTGTTCTAAATTATTGTTTTAATTACGGAATAGTATTTGTGCAATACTTGTAGCTTAATTACAGAACTACCAGTACTTTAATTAACTGTAAACATTTTTATAGGCTGAATATGTTGCTAGTGGTGGCTATGGAGGAGCTATGATTTGGGCTCTCAACATGGATGACTTCAAGAGTGAATGTTCCAACTCAGGGCAAAACTGGTTTCCTCTCATTACCAAAGTTAAAAATGTTTTAGAAGATGATCAATTATGACAGATGGAGCTGGGCTTAACCAAGGCCCTTGGTATCTGATGATTTTTTCCCAACACTTCACCTTACAGAACGTCATCTGTATTCAGAGACACAATTTCTGAATGTAATATCAACAGAGTTCTGGTATATCTATATCTTGTTTGCACTTTGCTGAGCAATTTTTCAACTCTGTTGACAGTTACAGGCTGTGTTAGAACAACAACCTATAGAAAGAGAGGCTACACTGTTTACAAATATAATTATACAATAAGGTTACACTTGTATTTGGTTGCACATTTTTATGTTGTATCCATGCTACTGAATTGATTGTCTTCTTAATGATTTCTAAATATATATGAAATGTATTTTATGTCCAAGTACTCTAAAGTCCTATTTTCTTTCCTCTCCCAATGATTCCACAAATTGAAAATATGATGGGGCTGGTGTATCACTTTTCTTTGAATATGGCCTTTGTTTCTTCATTAATGGTCATGCAAAGCATTGGAAAGGAGTACAGTATAAAGAAACAAGTTTTAATTCCATAGAATCTGTCCAAGTCCAAAAACCCTGTATAACATTTTGTAGCATGTTTTTTTATGCTGAGCAGAAACAGGCATCCTAAATTTGTTGAGTATATATTAAATCTTGTCCGTCTAATCACAATAATTCTTATTAAATATTAAAATATTACAATAATTAACATTTAAAATATTAAATGATGTTCTTTATCGAAATATTCGATTTACATTAAACCATCATTTTTCATGTTTCACGACATGTTTCAGTTCCTGCTTTTGTTGAGTATGTTTTGTTAAAGTTTACCTGTGTCATTATTAGACTTTCACTGCTTCTTCTTTCACTTTTATTGCCTCTATGTAGTATTTTATGCACATTCCACCTGGTTATGTGTCACATTAGCGTACCACTAAACTGTTAACCACAGATTTAAAGTCTAACCAGCAGGCCCTTATTGTGGAGGTTTGATTTAGTTTTTCCTGTATGATAAATGTTAAATGTCAGTTTAAACCTGAAGGCTGAATGGACATGGTGAAATGGGCTAATATAATAATTTTTGATTGGAGAAACAGTTACATGTACCTGTAGAACTGTTTGGTGAATACATAATTGCTATCTCACAGATCATGAATTTTCAATTGCTGCTTTTAATAAAATATTGCTTGAAGGGCCTAGGATATACAGAGGTGTCTTTGTATTTTGTGAAAGCTGCCTTCTGCTCTGTTCTTGATTAGCATTGCTGAAACAGGCAGAACTCTTCAATTAAGTATACAGTATTATTATTTAACATTTAATTGCTGTTTGGGGTAACATCTTCTCCATAAGTGATATTTAAGTATTACATGATAAACATGGAATTCCCATTACCTTTTCTTTCTCGGGCCAAAAATTATAGGTTTTACACAGTTTTCTAGTCAGAAGAAAAATATATTTAAGAACTCAAACCAGTTTAATTGAAAGGGCATGTTTTGACTTTTTGATTTGCTTTGTTTAATACTATAAATCATGATTAATTGTATTGTTCTATAAACTGTGATTTCTCTATGCACTCTGCCTGCCCCACTGTGTAATTTTAACTGTTTATGTTTATTTTGTGAATATACTATATGTTATATCAGGTGCCAGAAAAATCATCAAAACTTTGATCTGTGCTCTTACAATAGCTGCACTTAAGACAGGTTCATTGTATTTTGTGTGGAATTCACTTTATTATTTTAATGTGAAGCAAACAGTATATGGAAAGAGCCAAGTACTTTCATATGATAATGTGCATATTCACTGTGCAGAAACAGTATAGGAAATTAAAACCTTTTCTTGATTAATACATGTTTATCTCTTAGATAAACCAATTTATATTATTTTAGGCACACAAATAAGAAGCACAGGTAGGTACACAAATTTACAGTTTTTGTATCAGAAAACTTACATAATTTCAAAGTTGTCTGTTTGTTTTAAAATCAAAGTACTGTGCCCGCCAATTTAACTAACCACTTCAGTAATATTTCCATATGAATTTAAATATATAGGCTGTAGATCTTGTGTTTATTAACTGTAATAGGCACTATGCACAAATCTTGCTGTTTTTCCATTGTCAACCAGACATTATTTCAGTTCTAAAGGGTTCTGACAATGGTAGATTAATTATTCACTATCTGGACTTTTCCATCATCCTTGTTTAAAAGAAAGAAACCACGACGGTTTGGAAACTGGCTCTGTTTCCGTCTTCAGGCGAGACGTACCTACTCAGTTGGGTCTGTCAGAAAGAGCTAGTCCAGTGATAGAGACTATCTGTTTCTGATGGACCCAACTGAGTAGGTACCTTCTTGTTTGAAGACAGAAACAGAGCCAGTTTCGGAAACATTGTGGTTTCTTTTAAAGACGATGGTAAAAGTCCAGATAGAAATTAATTTTAAGCATACATTATTTCCTTTGCCTTCAATATACACTGCAGTATTAGGGTGTAAGTATAGTGTATTTTTATTTTGGCATGAGAGAATGTACTATTGTCTTAAAGCTATCAGTAGATTAACTAAACTGTATCAGTCACACCCCGATACTAATAAGTGCTGATTTGTAGACTGGTTAAATAGAGGATGTGTAATAAATATACCCATTGATGGATACAGTATTTATGTTTATATAGAAATGTTTCAGATGTGTATGATATTATAACCATTTAGAGCAATTTTATGTATTCATTAGTGCTAGTTCTTCACTTTTGTGAATAGAGTTGAAATTTTCTGTTTAAAGGCCTTGTCTCTGATCTAGCACTTGGCTGATATCAGAGTATGATAGTAGGGTATTTATAATAATTTAGTGAATAAACTGTTGTTTGTAAGTTCAATGAAAATCTCCAAAAGTTATCCTATTTTATAACATTCTACAGCATGTAGTATCCTCTGTTTCATAATAAGGGTTTTATATAGGTAAATTAGATGAATTCTTTTTATGACAGACTTGTAGTTATTTATTCAGGCATCTATTTTTATGCAGATATTTCATTATATATTCTATATCAGTTAAAATTACAGTGATAAATATTTAAATGTTTGTATTTAGGGATGTATTTGTGTGGTGATGATTTTTTTTAAAGTCTAAAGCTATTTTCAGCATACTCTGTGGTTTGAATTGCTTGAGGGAATGAGAATACAAATAATGATAGTCATTTAAAAATCATACCTTAGACTGTGTAATTAAGACTAAACAGAGTGATAGCATACAAGCTTTATTTTGCTATATATTTATAGTCCTTTATAGGTTATAGGTATGATAAATCCAAAGTGTTGATTTATATGTGAAATAATTATAATAATTGTTGTATTAAGATACAGATTAGATGTCCTGTGGACTGAAGATAATGTATGAAATTATAATGTGAACATCTATGCATACTATTGTGATATAATTTGCCAGTAGAGTATTTCTTTTGTAACTCACATAAGTAGATATAGATTTTAGTTTCATAAATATCACTGGATATTCTTCAGAAGAGCATAATACTATAGTAAGTGGATAGATACATGTGAAGGAATTCAGGCTACTATTAAATTTGATCTGTGAACAGTGTTAATCATTAAGATCAGTCCATGCATCACCTTGAAAGTGATAAAAGTCCTGCGAGATGATTCTTGACCAATAAGTGGCAAGTCTATCAGTATTTTTCTGAGCCTCTGGACAGATTATGTGAGCTAACATTTCCTCCAGCAGTTGTCCCATTGTTACAGCTTCATGTATGAAATGTCAACCCAGAATAAGAAAATGCTTGGGAAGTCAAAAAATATTGATTCTACTTAGAGTTATGAAAGACCTGGAAAGAATGATTATGATGATAATTAGTGGTTGGCATGATGAATTGCAGATGTAAAGTATGAACTCTCACTGCCATTCATCACCAGAGATTGAAGAAGTTTAACAAACTTTTTAATCATACACTTTCCAACTGTAGTTGTAACTTTTGGGTCAGTTGGTCTGAAATGTTATAACAGTAGTATAAAAGATTACTATTTTATTCTAATAGTTCCTCTTCTTACTGTCTTCCATTGTTCACATGGGCAGTGTCAAATAAAGTGTGTAAAGATAATTACTATTGTATTTTGTTACTGTATTCAGAGTTTATTTCATTATTGTTGTAGAACTCAAAAAATGCACATCATCTTTTAGATTGTCATGCTGTGTAGCATTTTAGCTTCATGCCAATATTTTGGAGGAACTGTATTCCTCTGAAACATCGTCACTAGCCAAAATGTTACATGATGCAACAACCCAAAGCCTACCATTCATGTTCACATCACTGTGAAAACCTGAACTCCTACAGACAACACAAGTAATCCTTTGGTAATAAATACCTTATATTACAATGAAAGTAAAAGTGACAAATTAAAGAGAGTTAAAAATGAACACTTTGATAGTGTCTTCAAAGTAAAAATTTGGCCCTAAGCCCACCAAGCTAGGCTGAATAAATAAATCTCTGCTTTACGAAAGTAGCAACCTGCAAAGTTGCTTATCTTTACTCATACTAACTGAAAGGAATGAGCAAAATGTGGCTGGTCCTAGAACTGAATTCAGATCATGTATCTTGCTGTTCATAACACTATTATTTTTACACACACACACACACTTTTCATAATTGTTTAATTAATCACTGCAAATGGAAAATTAGGAATAAATAAAAATAATTAAAATATTTCTGCAGCACACAGAAAAATCTTACATGACATCAGCACCAAGCATTAATATCCACTTCACAAGAAGAAATCAACAGTTTTTAGTGCTTTCTCATGAAGTCAACTATAATATGGTTTCTTCCTTCAGTGTTTTCTTAAACTTTCTGCAGTCTCATGATTTCACCTTTTCAAGTGTGGGTAACAACAATGAACATCCCCTGGTGTGATAAGTCTTGATTGGCTTTAATTTTGCCTTGCATTCATAATTAAATTAAAATTAAATCCATGGTGTAACAGCTCCAGAGAGCCAAAGCCGACTAGCTGGTTGCTAGCCTCACGTTCACATGCCTAAGCAGAGGTGAATGATCATCCAACCAGATATAGGGTGACGTGTGGTCAGCACGACAAACCCCCAGCCATTGCTAGCTTTCATGACCGGATTACGCTACTCATTGTAGCTCCCCAATTTCCTCACGATGCTGGGTTGGCACTGGTCGAAAGCTCATGAGAAAATTTCTTCTCCCCAGAGACTCGAGCCAGCGCGTATTCCGTATCGCCGGTCCGAAGCATGATGCCTCAGACCACGCAGCTACAAATAGTGAAAACAAATTAAAGCCATGCAGTGCAGTCCCCCAGATAATTTCCCAAATTGCCTTTCAAATGTTGATTAAAACAACTGCTACCAAAAGGAAAGGATATACTGGGTGAAAATAAACTTACCCAAATAAGAGTTTCTGAATGTTCTTTCTCATTCTTAATTAAATTAATTAAATCATTACAATAATTATCAATTACATTCATACATTCCATTTAAAAACTGAGTATATAATTATAGACTGTACAAACACTGAATGAAATCATATTTACATGAGAAACAAAGACAACAACAAAAATATACCAATGTCTATTATCTCACAGTCTAACTGTAGCAAGATTATGACCTACTTAATTTTAACTGGGCAAGTTAAGAAACATTTGGTGAATAAAACCGTTTCCTAGCAATTCCATGAAAGCAGTACATTTTAAACAGGCCCTTCACCAGCTATGGCCTTTACATATTCATTCCTATGAAAATATCTGTTATTAAAATTAAAACACTGTGGTGCTTAAAGTATATTTTTTATAATAAACATATCCAATACTCTACTTCAATTAAATATGCTTTGAATGTATGGTCTAAAACAGGTTTCCTAATTCTTCTGGGAATGGCCATTTCTTGTCATCCAGACTGTCTTCTTACTATCAGTCATTATGAAGTATGCAGGTATGGTATACACATATGGGTTGGATTCAGTTATAATCTAAAAGGTTTCATACTGAACTGAATTAGGATTTTGGCAGATGCGAGATATCAAGAAAGCAAATCTGTTAACTAATTTTCTTCATATCAAAATAATAATTATTGTGTCTAGTCCATTTTAAACTTTTGAAGTAACTAAACATACCTGTACACATACACAAACGTGTTTGATTAAATTCATGAAAGTTAAAATATATTATTGTATTGTGTATCATGGTTTATTCAATTTTATCATTAAACTTGTATTTTACAATTTTATCTTAATCCATTTCTTCCACTCAATTTTTTCCTCACATGATTTTAAATTTCTATGAACATTTTTCAAAGATATTACCATCATCACTATATTACAACCTGTAAACTACCAAAAATTAAAATGTAAAAATAACTGAACATACTATATCACATAACAAAAGAAAAGAAAAAGGAAGCTGATACCAGCAGATATCAACAGTATTGCAACATATTGTTTTAGGTTTCCCATCCACAGTACACATATGAATTAAGCCTTAGCATATCCAGTGTGAATCTCTCCAAATGATTTATTTTTAGACCTCTTGGCAACCCAAGTGAGTTAGTTTCTTGCTGCTACTTTTAAATTAAAATATTATTGAATCAGTTAAATATAGAAGAATTTCAATTACATTTTCTTTCTATTGCAATCTGCTGTGAGATGCATACAGAATATTTTATTATCCTAATCTGTGCCAGCCATAGCAATTGACTGCACTTCTTGTCCTGCTCATTTCCAATTAAGCCCTAAAATGAGTCAAACTATTTATATATTTGGGGTGTAGTGTAAAATAATATTGAATTACTTTGATATTATGAGGATGAAAATCACCAAAATACAAAGTTTTATGAACAGGTTTACCAAATGTAAACTAAGGAAATAAATTATCCCTGTGATTACCACCATGCCTTGAAAACATAAAGCAGACATGGAAGTAAAGTTACTTTCTGACAATAATATGAAAATGAACCTGCATCATGAGAAGTAATTATTGAATGTTTAAGAAATAAGCAGAATGTGTTCCAAGAATGAAAGTATGGTGATGATGATGATAAAACATTAACTTTGTATAACAGGGATTAGGGTCACAAAAATTAACTCTCATTTAAAGTTAAAATACAGTATATCCTGATAAAACACAAAATTGTGATTACATATTTATACATATAAATATACCGCTGCCCTATGGAGTTTGAGTGGAGTCGAGGTGATATTAGGTGTTCAAAAATATGTAACTTTTGCTAAGGAACTATTTTAGAAGAATGTAAATGTGACAGCCACACAATATACGTATTTAATTTTTGGTTTGAAGGCAATTATGAATTAATAACCATTGAAGCTAAGTATGTGAAATCTGGTATGAAGAAAGATCATAAATACTACAACCAAATTCTGTATGAAATGGTATTTACATGTCAACAATTATAAACATGGCAATGGTGATATCACACAAATTTCATTTAGTCAAAATTTGTACTAGTGGAGATTATGTACAAACATCTGCCACCAAGTCACAGAATTATTAATTTGTGATACTCGCTAGACTTGCCATACAGACTGAAGAATCTAAAGGCCAAGTACAAATCATTAGTTCTTCCCAGAAATTATTGTTAGACCAGCAAAGCCTGGTGTAGTAACACATGGTGATTTTCGGTCAGTTTAGACATATAAATTCTATGCATGTAAGATTCAGTTCAAATTTAAAGTAATGAAACATAAATAATTTCACACAGAAGGATAAACTTAAAAAAGGAAAAATAAATTAAACTCTAAATATCGGTGCTATAATGGATCAATGAAGTATAAATATCTTTGTTACAGGATATGTCCAACAGTTTATGCATCTTTGTAATTCTATTATATACCAGAAGCCCTCAACACTTGAGCAAATCTATATATATAATTTGTAAGATTCCTTCCTTATACTATACATGCATTGCCTTTATTAGACTCCCATCTGGATATATTCAACATGTTACAGTTTTATGCTCTGTTATGCTTGAAGTTACACGTCTTGCGATCTGAAAGAATAATATTCTTGCATTTAGTGTACGGAGACATCACTCCTACACAACTCCCAACTGCCAAGTGGTTAATACAACTGCCATGGACAGCTCTTTCAGGTACATCACAGTTCTGTCTTAGTCTTCTTGTGAACAGCCATCAATCACGTAAGTATTGACAGCCTTGTAGACTGTACTCTAAAGCCAATCCTAACATTTCATAAACCAAGTCTGACAGAGGAAGGCTTGTAGAAGAACCTCATTCCAACTGCAGGCATGCCTGTTTTCTTAATTATGCATTCACTTGTTCCTTAGTAGATGCAAAATATATAAATATTCTACAATCTTTCATCTGCCAGTTTTCTACAAATGAACTTCACCATCTTCTTTACTTACAGAATTCTGCAAAACTGACTCTGTTCATCCAACTACCTTATTTTACGTAGCAAACACAAAAAATTCCTCATTAGTTCAGTGATGGTGTAACACCAGACAACCACTGCACCTCTATATTGGGCCACTTGGTTTGTAGACAAGTCAACATTGGATTACTTTCTAGTACACATTTCATGTCGCATTCCAGTAATACTGCATTTCCTTCTTGATACACAACCTGCAACATGCACAGCACTTTCCTTTACCAACAATTACATATACACTTAAAATGTCCAGCAAATAGTTGGTAAACATTTTACAGTGAAGAAAGCATATTTAATAAATTAATCAAAATTTCATTCTTAGAAAACCAGAAATATATTGTTACTGGTAGTAGCATGTTTTAATAATGGTGTAGCATCTAAAATGAGGTCTACCATCTACTGAAACATCCATCAATGTGGAAGTAGGCAGAGTTCAAACTGGCACTGAAAAACATTACATTTATGAATGTCTATATGAACTGCAGAAAATTACACAACACAGAGCTCTGTAAAGTGCTTTTTCACATTATTAGGAAGATGAAATTGAGAATACCCAATTTAATGTTATCTTACCATCTCCATCTAGGTCTTCCCAATGATCACTTTCCAAGAAGTTTTCTTACCAAACATATGTACAAATTTCTCGTTTGACTGATTTTGACTTACATGTTTAACTCCTCATAATCTCACTGGTGTAACACCTAAGAAATTTTGCATTTATATTATTTCAAAGGAAGAAAATGGAAATGTACTCAAAATAAATAAAACACACACAGAGAGAAAAGCACATAAGCAAAGGTGGTAAACCCATCCATGCCAACAAGCTTTCAACACATACAGAACATGTAGTGCACTCTGTGAGCAAGGAAAACTACTGAAATTTAATATCTTTGTTTGCTTGATTATAAAATATCTGTAAGTATCCCCTCTTCTTCACCCCACGTGTACATTCATGCAAAATTATAGTAAAAATATACTTTGATACTATCTGCAAATGAAGAAACTCATTAACAATTATAGACCACAAAAATAGATGTTAGCAGAACTCTACAACCATCCACCATGGCATTAAGTCAGGCACAAATTAAGTACACATGAAATGTCACATAAGTTGAATATTTCTTGTATTTCCCCACTATTCCTATTTACTTACAAGCTGTCATCAGTGTTCATTTCATTTGGTTACAACATTCATATACAATTTGTAACATTAAAAATGGTTACAAATTAACATGAGCACTGTAGACAACATACAGCTGTGACAGCGAATAAGTAAATATGATAGTTGTTCAGAAATGATTGGAACTCGCTTGGAATACAGGCTGAGAGATTATAACAGCTGCACAATCACACTTCAGCACACTCCCTCACTGAGATTAATGCACCATCTTTCTAGTAACTTCCTGATGCATACAGCAAACCAGTCTTTTAGGATAGTATGCACCAACTCATGGTCACTGCTCTGCAAGTTACTATCATCAAGGAATCAGTGGCTGTGCAATGGATCCTCCACCTCGTCAAACAGGGCACAATCAGATGGAGCCAAATCCGGTGAATATGGTAGGACCGTAAACCCAATGGATACCAGTATCTGCATTTACAGCTGGTATGAGGCCTGACATTGTCACTCGGCACTAACATGTTCTGCGCCCATTTTTCTCTGCACTGTTGCTGGATTTTTCCAACAAAGATGGTGTGAGTATTTCAAATTAACAATGCTGTCCTAATGACAACATGCACAATAGTGTCCATGATTTGGCATGTACTTTCCTGAAAGATTAGTTAACTGCATCCATCAGGAAGTTACAAGAAAGACTACAATGGTGCATTGACCTTAGTAAAGAGTATGTTAAATGTGCTGAAGTGTGACTGTGCAGCTGTCATCATCTCTCAGCCTGTATTCCAGACAGATCCAATCATTTCTGAATTACTCTCGTAGGAACAGTAGAGGATTGCAGGAAATGTATAATGTATATGTTATACCTAAAGATCAAAACTGGCTATTGTCAAAACTAGCCAGCTAATGACAATATTATCAAACACCAGAGGATAACATTCAATGTTAAACAGCTAGCAAGTACATTTAGGGCATCTTCCAGATAATGAAATTAACCTAATTTAACATAACCAAAATGTACTTCTTTAATGTTGATTTCTTAACATTACTCTAACCTCCTACCTAAAGTCAAGAATATCCAGTTAATATTGACATTAAGTGGATTTGTCTTTAGCTGTAACAACTACACACTTAAGCAATAAAGGGATGCAACATTTTAGATTTTTAACTCCATTAATATGACATAACTAATGATAGCAATATTACATATAGTTTGTACCAGGCATAGGCTATAACATATAATCTATACTGGATGTACTTTAAAAAATTAAATGTAAAGTGAAACTCATGGATCATGTTAATGTACATGTACTGAAGATGACTTAAATGAAATATGTACATAATAAACACTAATATGAAGTGGTAACAGACCAAAATACAAATTATAATTTGAATTTTAATGGTCTACAGTTTGAATTAAGATATTACAATAAATACAGCTTCAGCCTTTAAAACACAAATGTAAGATTACCCTTAAGCCTTGCATCAAGTTCTTAATATATCAAATGTATATCTTGACAGCTGTGTGCTCTAACTAAAACAAAATTATAGCGTTCTATAAAACTGAAATGGATTTTAACACTGGAACAGAACTGCAACACCATATTTTGACTACTAACCCCAATCCTATACTGGAGAAGTGAACAAAAATTATGTTATACACAAAATAATCACATATTGGAAGTATGGGTGGAAAAGTAACAGGACTGAACTTATCAGCTCATGATTGCTTTCCTGACAGCCATCATCTGTTACTAAATGTCGTGTGTACATTTGGTTTAGTTCAATAAGGATATATCATATTCATGAACAAGGAGTGATCAAATACTTTTAGACTGGCTACAATGTGACATAACTGAACTTAGTACACATTTCCTCTGCTAGATGACAATTGCATACAATCTGCTTTATCATTTGCCATTAATTCACTGTCTACAATCTCACCCTTCCATCAGGACATGAGCGAGGCTGGCCATTGTAATGGAACAGAGTGAATGTGTCTGGTGTCGATTGCTTCTGTTCTGGAAAAAATTCTTCCATGAAGGCATTAAGTAGAATGATGCCCAGATTCTCTGCATCAAGCTTCCTTGTCATGATTTCCACACTGTAACAAACTTACAGTTTTAAAAACTACAGGCAAAAATACACACAAATTTCAAAATTGGGTAACAGTTACCACATAAGAAATTACACTAAACACAACTTACTATTCTGCCTCTGAAACTAGTTCCAATGCTCTTAACACATCTTGCAGTAACACAGCTGAGATGAAGTTATTTCCATCAGGGTCAAAACTTTTAAAAACACGTCTGGCCACTTCACTGGGGGTCTCTGGGCTCACCAAGCGCTTTTCCAAGGAGAACAATACTGTAAAGGTTTGATCAATTTATTTTTATGCATTTACCAATCCTGGATACTTCTGAATTTGTACCCAACCCATCTTGTTATGGTGTAAGGTTACATGGTATACATTTAAAAATTATCACATTTTACAACAGATATGACATTCCATACAATTTAAAAACAGACACTAACACACAGAAAGTCAGAAGATATAAGAATAAATACATATACAATATACAAGAGAAACCACACGCACTTACCAAAACAACTGCCTAATGAGACATTTCTTGTTCTAAAGCCTCTGATTACAATCATTTTGAACTTACCAGCCTTTCCCAATCTTGCAAGGGTGAAGGAATCACAGTGAGGAGGGAGATCACACAGGATATGACTTTGTTTACTCCTGATAAATATGATGATTAAGCAAGAAGGCTTAATGGCATGTCAATACTGAATAATGATGGAGCCTGGTAATACCCATAATACTCACAAAGCTGACATTGTCAGAGCGAGGGACAAGGAAAACATATGGATCTACTCAGTCTTAAACCTGTTTTAACACTTTTAATCACAATATAAGTACCAAGAAATGTATATATGTTAATAAGAAAGTACACAATAGAACCACTGTAGGATTGTACCAGTTTAAGCATGTTTTAGAGTATATACTGAATGCTGTATCATATAGCAGAGACTTAATGATGTCTCAATAGTTCACATATCCTGCTATGGTAGAACAGTACACATAGTTGTTTTGATGTAATCAACTTAAACCTTTGACTGTTCACATGGGAAACCAGCTCCTTCACACAACACTGTAACAGGTCCCCTTCTACAGAGACATTAAGAGAAAGAAAACACCAGTGTTTTGTGCTTTGTAAATTTTAAAAAATGTTCTGGTAAGTGTTCCTCTCTAACCAAGATTTACCAAGTTGTTTTTCTTCTTAATTGTTTTCTCAGAAGCACAAATCTAATCACAGACTGAATCTGCATATTCAAAAAGATACTTAAATGATGATGATGATAAATCTATTTTATTCTATGGTGCAACAGCCCGAGCCAAGCCTTAGCCTCCTCCCATATGGGAGGTTTCTTTGTCTTTGAAATGTGCACAATTTCTACTCAATTCTGATTTGTCTACTAGAGCCGTCTAGTATTGAATCAGGGGAGATTTGGGTGAGAAATGGCCGCTGAATTTTTCTTATGAAACATCTCGTTCATTTTCATAAGGTTCTTTTACATGCAGTAAATCTAAGACATGGGACTGCCAGCTTTACTTCCCCTCCAAAGGAAGTTGTGCTACGGATTTTTATCACCCTCAAAAATCCATCATCCTCGGCCGGGTTTGAACCCACGAACCTTGGGTCCAATGGTGAGCAAGCTATCCACTAGTCCACCGAGGGCGACGATGATGATAAATACATTAAATGATCAGATTTTCACAGGGATGGACATCTGGATTGTGATCTCACTGGTTAGACAATATATATATATAGTCTTCAATGTGGTTACCACTGTTTCAGATGAAATATCGCCTCCATCTTCAGGGTAGAAATAAGTCAAGATGGAATGTGGTAAAGTTATATAAGAAGGGTGGCCAATAAGAACAGGGAAACAGCAGATCCCTGCTGGTGGTGCTCTCTAACCCTGATTATAATTCAATGTCCTTTTTGTTCAATTTATACCATCCCTCACTCAAAGGAGATGTTGATGCCTGGTATATTTAGACAGGCAACCCTTGATGGGTCAAACAAAACCAACAACATTCTTTGGCAGGAGGCCTAATACCTTACCTTAAACTTGATGTTGTGCTTCAACAGAACTATACTAATATGATGAAAGGTCACATTAAAACATTAAAAAAAACACTGATGATGGACTCCCTCTACAAGCCTTACCCTTTCAGGTAAAATGAGAGTACAGAAAATCTTCTTTGTGGAGAATGTCTTGATCATGGATGGCTTTGATCCTGTGTACCAAGGCAGAAAGCACAGCCTGCTCATTTGCTGGACAATGGTGTGACCAGGCATTCTGAAAGAGGTTGGAGTGGGTAATCTACCCACACTCACTTTATTGTGATGAGATACAAATATTGCAAACTGTACACCATAAAAAAGGAACAACATGCATGCTTTCACATCACATAACATTTTTGTTATAAAATATCAAATAATATGATCAAATTTTTGAATTCATGGTATAAAACTAGGAAAAATTTGCCTCAGAATGCAATGTGTATTTGGTAAGATTATATTTTAATCTAAGATCAAGTACATAAATGAGTGCAAAAATTCCAGCAGAAATCCAATGATCCTCTTCAGCCAAGCCAGTCAGTCACTTCATGCAGTCTCTCCTGCCAGTGTCTCGTGAGCATTGATGATGATTGGGCAGGATCACTGTGGAATACTCAATGCCTACACCAAACACGAATACTGGCTCTGTGTATCACACTGCACAACACTTGATGTTTCTAAATTTCTGCACTCAATTTTAAACTCAATCTGGGAACAAAATACATCTCACCATAAAACATTACAATTCTGAACTGAATATGCACTGGTTTTTCACCTTCAGACAGAAATCTGCGTGGATAGGTTACAGCACCAATCACTATCTGTGCCAAGTCACAAATGAGCTGGTTGTGCTTTTCATCTTCACATACAGGGACAAAGCCACCTGTGGTTAATTCTCACAATAAATTGATACTTCTCATGTGCACCTTCAGACAGAATGGATTCTACAGGCTCTCAACTCAACTGTAAGGGTCACAGCATTTGCAATGATCTAACTTCAGTGCCTTTTTTAACCCCTGTTGGCACGATCTTCAATCCCAATAGCATGCTGCTTTTCAAGCACATCTAGACAGCTGACCTCTTTTCAAAAATATCCCAGTTTGTTTGGCCCATCAAGAGCGACTTCCATCAAAATCAACCAGGTTAAGTCAGCCATGGCAGAACACAGCATAAACCTGAGCTACAACATCCAGCTGCAGGATTACAGTGTCCTTGCTAATCTTCAAGCACAAATTGGAAAGTCAGGGAAGCGAAAGAGCTCATGCTCCATCTCCAAAATCATTAACCCGTCGACGTGGTAGTTTAAATACCCCGCATATACTGCTGTCGTGCTGTTCCTGCGGTAGTATTTTTTAAATGCGCGTTTAAATTTTGCTGTAAAATACTCTTTTTTCCATAACTTTTGAACTATATGAGATATAATTATGAATTTTTCACTGAAATCCTCTTAAAAGATGGTTTTATAATCTTACCTTATAAGATGAGATGTGTGAGCAGTGGAAGCAAGTCGATTAGAAGTTTAGTTTCAGAAAAAAACGGAGTGTACACCAGCCGGTTCTTTGAATAGTAAGATCTAAGTGTAGGCTTTTGCACAATGCCCATCAACATAAATAGAGCCAAAAGAACGTAAATTTCGTCCACTGTAATATCTTGCCTCTTCCTAATCCTAGAGCGAAATGTGAGAGGATTGGCACTTTTTGATATTTCTTGCTGAGCATATCTGTTGGTTTGATCAGCAATGTGCTGCACAAGTGCTATATCGAAAATATTTTCGAATAAACTCACGACATCTAGTTCAGCAGTGTCGAACTGGGGACCACATACATTACAAAATGCTTCTCGTGAAGCAGGAAATGAGTCTATATTTTCCCACAAAAACTTGTTGGAAACC